ACCATTATTTCACATAAATTGTATTGGATTTCACATAAAAGTGATAATTCAAGAAAAGCCTCAGTAACATTTACAAAAAAGTATATTTTTTACACCGCTAACACTAACATCATCAAGCAATTCACCTCAAATTTCTGTAAACTGTATTATAGACATTGGCAAATGTACAAGAAATCATTCCGAATATTGTTTTGCAGTGTCCATAGTAATCTAAATATTTTGATAAAAATGTTTTGAAAAAGGTTTTTCAATGCAAAATTCACAAAAATAGGTACATTTCTAGATTTTTCTAATAAAAAAAAATTAACCACTAATTTGCACACACTTAAAAGCCAAACAAACCTTGTTGGTGCATTTTTCAATTATAACAATTAAATTATGTGTATACGTGGAGGTTTTTGAACTCCGTTTTAATTTAATTGCCGAACGTCGGGATAATAAATAAATTTAATTAAAAAAACGAACACGACACGACCACTATTTCCCGCAATTGATTTGTTGTTTAAATAGAGAGTTGAGATTTTATTGGGGTGCTTTGATCGGGACTGCGTCGAATGTTGTAAACATGAATGGCGAGGTCGAAGGTGGTGCACTTGGTTGTATGTTTTGTCTTTAAGCGAATAAATTTTCATTTGATTTTTGTGCTTTCGTCCTTTACTGTAGTGAGACGGTAAGTTGTATTTACGACACTTGAACTCTGCGATTACAACTAAAACGTTTCATTAATTCGGTTCAAAAATTCTCCTAAGGGTTTAATATCTCCGTGTTAATTACACTAATTGGGGAATAGTTTAGAAGCGACTTCTCCGTGTTTCAGAGATTTATTTCGGAGTCCAAATCTCGATTTTCCAACATTTATTATTTAACTCCGAGTGCACGGTTTGATTTCTTTTTGTTTTATCTCAGACACTTATCTCATCTACTTCAAGAAGAAACGAAAAAAGCCGAGATTTATTTTTAAACCTCTCTTAATCCAGAAGCACGACGGTAGACATTTCTTTCTTTCCCAACCAAAATAACACAAATACGAAACTGAAATAACATTTGGGTTTGACATGAAATTAGGTTTATTTCTAATCGTTTCGGATTCGTTAAATGCATACTGATTAGACACGATTTCGAATTCGAAACGTTGGAAATGTGCCAAAATGTAAATTTCGGTAGTCACAGTTTTTAACGAAATTCAAAAAATTGAAAGACGATTTTACGTAAAAAAGTGGATTATTTAAAGAAATTCGTTCAATAAGAGAGGATAAAAGTATTGTGTTTAAACATTTTACAAAGAAAATCTGAATAAGTAAGGAATATTTCAAATTCTCTGAAAAAAGATATATAGTACTCGTCACGATATTTGAACTATCGTAAATCTTAAGGCGGGTACCCGAATTACCCTTAACAATAAGATATTGGAGTGGTTGTAATCACTGACGAGTCCGGACCATTCTGATGTTGTGTCCCAGACTGTTGGATTACTTACGACAACCCAATTGCCTTTATTGTTAAAAGTAATTCGGGTACCCGACTTAAGATTTACAACAGTTCAAATATCGTGACGAGTACTATACTATAGACAGTTCTGATCGTAATGTCTGTATTACCTCGCACACGCAAACTGGAACTGGGTCAAGTGTAAGTTGGTTCAACTACATTTTCAAACTAGCCAAAAACATTGTGTTTACGAAACTTAGAATCCCAACTTGTGCCTTTTTTAATAAAAAACTTGGAAACAAAATTTTAAAAGATCGCTAGATAATGTCGTGTCTGAAATGTCATCTTCATTTTCTGTTTAGAAAGAACGACTCTCGTAATTACATCTGACGTCGTCTCAATTTAATGTAATTATTTTATGCTGATGTAAACAAATTACCGAACAAAATATTCAGTAAAGTTCATTAAAACACTTTGTCCAGGCACGATCTCAATTTTAATTTAAATTCCAATTTGATTTTTAACACTTTTGGTATTATAACATTAAACACAATGTGACAGTCAAGTGTGAATTATCGTTGATTATAATATTGTTCAGAATAAAATCGAAAGCACCGACTGTTAATTAACTCATTAATTCTATAATTAGGTATACGCAATTCAGTGATACGAAATCATACAACAAAGACGTTTTAGTAAAATTTAATTACTAATAAATTCATTTAGTAATCAAAGCTTTTTCAGGATTTATTGATATGTGAACAATTATATTTCAATATTTATACCTATTTTTATTATTATTAGTTACGCCATGTCTGTCTTTAATTATGTTGTCGTGACCGTCGGCATTTATTTACATGTTCATGTGGTTGTCATAATTACCCGAGGTCAATGTTTACTTAATTATGTGTTTCAGTTTTGTCTGCTATTTTTTGCAGTGAAAAATCAAAAATCCCATCAATTGTATTTGTTTTTATAACATTAAATACAGTAAACGAGGCGTTAATGTAACAACTAATAGCCAACTCGAAACAATATTTTTCGGTAGTTTTTACTCGGAATAAACCTCAGAAATTTGAAAGATTTGATTGGCTTAAATTTTGTGATGGAAATGGTCGGTAAAAGTTCGTATTTGCACACATCAAGACGCTATCCCGTAGCCAATCAGGTGCAAGCATCTTGACGTCACGTCAGGTGAATCGTGCGACTAAAAATTAGTTTGTTGTACAAGTGTAAAGGGCGCAAAAAATGACAAAGCTGGAATTGGGTAATATTCGAATCACTTTGTGACGTTGAAAATGGCGGGATTACGCAGCCTCGGCAAAGGCCTTTTACAACGAAAGTGTTACGAAATGAGTTTTTGTGAATCCTGCCGTTTTTGAGGAAATTATTACAATAACTAGTCAGTCTTAGCCAAGCTCCCGTACGAATTACTTGAGTTGAAATAATTGTCCGGAAAAATTATTTCTTATTTGGTGGTTCAGTGCGAAATTGTGTTGAAATGAGGGCTATACACACAGTCAGTGCGTGTTATGTATTTTCGAATGCTTAATAGACATTTAGTAGTGCGCGATTTTTAAAATTTCGAGTGATTAGTGAGTGCCAATGGGAGGAGTCTTCGGAGGAATGGACGAGACAACCGTGCTACAAGGAACTGGATTAAAGGGTAAGTCAAATTTAAAAAAAAAATCACATTTAAATTTTATTTTCAAGAAATTTAATATATATAGTGAACTGATTTTGTTTTTTTTTTAATTTCAGTAGGTCCGTTCTATGAAGATGAGGGGAATCGCTAAAAATGGTAGCAGAAAAGATGCCATATAAAGTCAGTGTATTTGATTTTTTTGTTTATTGTAAAATAAAGTGTGTGAATTTGTGATTTTCGTGTGCAACAGTAAGTATTTATTAAATTACAAATAGAAATTAATTGTTTTAGATAAAATGTATTATTTCTCAAATTCTTTTACTTATTTATACTTAATTATAGATGTCTCTTACTAATAAAACACAAAATTACCTTCCCTAATTAATAAAAATAATAATATTAAAGTTGCATTTTTGCAGAATTATACAAGGTGTTTAAAAAATGCCGCACTAAAACTATGGTACACTGTCTAGAAGCATTCCGTGAGTGAGGGCAAAATATTTAAAAAATTTCGTGATGTTAAATTTGCACGTGGATGAAGGTTTATTTTATGATAAATCAACAAACAACGTTTGAAGATTCTTACACAAAACCCCCACTGTGCAGAAAAATAAAAACCAAGAATTTTTGAGATATTTTTCCCTCACTCACCTAATGCTTCTAGGCACCATACCATAGTTTTAGTACGGCATTTTTTAAACACCCTACCTAACATTTTTGTTTGTAATTTTGTAAATTTGATGGTCATTTTGAATCACGCCTCCACACTGTATAAATACCGTCTGTTTAAAATAAGTGCTTAAAATGTGTTTCAATCAAACAATTTCGAAACTTTATTAATATAGTAACTTATCTTGATGTAAATTAGTTTGATTACAACAAATATGTACAAACACCAACTATAGACTTGTGTTTGTAATTTATAGGTTTATGTAAATATACAAACCAAGGAATAGTTGCATATCCTTGGAGCAATGCAAGAGCGGAAGTGGGACCGTTTAGTTCTTGTTTTGCTAGTTTTACAAAAACAATCAAGATGTTGCATATAATTATCTTTGCAGAAACGGTAAAATTGAGGAAAACATTTATGAAAATACAAAGTATAATTTCAATACTAATTTTCTGTCAAACAGTATCACATGAAAAAAACATGTTCCAGAAGTGGCCATGACAAATTCATTACTTCGCAACTTTTGTTTTTTCAATAGTGTAAATGTTTTAAAGGTTTAACCGAGGGTTTAACTCACCACTAAAAGTTCACTATTGCATAGTTTTCATTAGCAGAAAGTTCATCACTTTTTGTACTATAATAGTCAATAAATTTTAATAATATTATTTGACACGACTTTTTTGTTAATTGACATTAGGACCAGTTTTGTCAAAAACCTTTCGTCAAAATGTGACGTTGTGTTTACAGTAACACTATCAAAGCACACTTGACGATTTATTTAATCGTGATTTGACTTCGAGAAATCGCAAATTTATCACGAATTCTTACTTTCTGGGAACGCTAAAATATAAAAACACAGTATGACTAACTCCAGTCAATAAACCAGTTCCAACACGTTGCAAGTAACCACAATAGACGTAATTGTAGACACCTGTCTTCATATGGCAATAAATGTTTTGTTTCTTCACTAGTAACAGAAATTTATCGATTTTGGTGTAGGAAATGTCCACTTTTATGAGTTTGTTGTCGAAAATACCGTTATAAATGACGAATTCAAGTCATGATGCAAATAATAACACCACTAAGTAGGTGTAGTTCAATTCCTGATTGAATGAATTAATTCAAGTGTCTTTAAATGCCCCTTGTTTAGTAGGCAATTTCGCGGGCCACCCCTTCAAAAAAATGCAACGTTGTTAATACCGCCACAACAAAGGGGTGAAATTATCGATGGGGTGGTTGCTAAAATCAACAACTTACCAGTTTTAGTACGAGGAAGCAAGAAAAGCAAAGGAAACAAGTAAACAAATTCACTCAACATTTTCCTGCACAAAATAATCCCACAAACACCACAAAAACACACCCCAACTAAGCCATTCCTGAATTTACAGCTGACTGATGCACTGGTTTGTACACAACACCTTTGTCTTTAGACTGTATTGCGCATGCGTTGTTTTTATTTTCTAAATGGTTAAACGTTTTTAGCTAAATTAACGAAAATTATTGAATGGTACATGTTTACAAGAGGGGCACCAAGACAAAACTGAAATGACCTGTCTTTGACCACTTGGAATTTAATAAAAATCAGTTTACTGTAAAGCAAATGTCAAATTACAGTAGTGTTATCTGGTAGTACTCGTACCAAGCTCGCACAGATTTCTGTAATTTTTTAATCAATAATTAAAATTTCATAAGAAAAGTTGTTAAAATCGCCTTAAACACTTTCAAAGCCATGCTTTTGTCTACTAAATGCAAACTAGTTGCTTCTAATTGCATAAATACACTAATTTAATGAAATAAATTTGGTGGCCAAATTGGCGACGAAAAATTGACAGGTCAAATAAGACAAAATTGTGGTTATATTTGCTTTATTGAGGTTCTATATGTAAACAAGATGGTACTTAAATATCAACAATCGTTATAGACAAACAACGTAATAAAATAAATAAGCGATTAATATATGTGTACACTAACAACGAAAAATAAACATGTAACAAGTTAACGGGCCTACAAATGGAGTGTAGAAAAATATCCACTCGTAAAAACACTTTAGGCACACATGTACTTACGCCTAATCGATTATTGTACTTTTTGGAAAAGATTTAACTGTGTGCACACCCAAACATATCTAGGGTAAAAATTGATGTAATACGAAGCATGTTAGCATACATAACACTTATATCACGTTAAATAAATTTACTTAAAAAATATATTTAAGCATATAAAATTGGAAGGCGTTAGGCGATATTAAATTGTACTCAGATAGCTTCATACGCCGCATCGATTGGTGGACTTCCACTTCCATTTAAGAATTCTTCTAATTCGTCGCGACGAGATGAAGTTTCGTCACGTGACCGACGTTTGTGCCGACGTTCGCTTTTATCTTTCGGTTTCTCCTTATCTTTTGATTTTTTATTCTTATGCTTCTTTTCCGACTAGAACAAAACAATTATTATAAACTACGAACTAAATAGAATACGTACTTTCTCCTTCTCCTTCTTCTTTTTCTCTTTCTTGACTGAACTAGAAGTGTGAGTTTCTTCACTATCACTATTCACACTTCCGTTCGCCGAAACTGGACTATGTTTCGAACTCAACAACTCCATATGGACATTTGATGACGTCACACTCGTACTATCATCATAAGGCGTACTATTACTGTAATCTAAGGTTTGACTCACAACTGACACATCTTCGCCACCATCAGGTGATCGTCTCCATTTGGTATCACTGCCCATCCACCCGTCATAAGCGTCCGAAGTCAATTCCGAAATTTCCGAATTTATAGTCGAATCAAATTCGTCATTGGTTTGTTTCATGTCGTAGTCTTCTGGAGCAGTCTTGTCAACTTCAATTTCGCTACTTTCGTCCGAACGGACGATTCGTAACGCCACTGGTGCTTTTAATTCGGATTTTCCGATTTTTTTAGATGAGGAATTGAGGTCGTCAGGATCGAAGTCTTCTTGTAATTCGGAGACGAGAGGATTGCCAGTGTCTGTATCCCTACAGGAAAAAATCACTTCGCAAACTTCTTTACAGAAAAATATCTTTCAAGCGTAATGAAAATAAAAGTAATTTACTTCTGATCCGAAACTGCAAACAAACTTACACTTGACCCAGTTCCAGTTTCGGGTGCAGTTAATAGAGTTTACGAAGAGAATTGTTCATGAATTTGATCGATTTTTATCAACGAATTGAATTGAATCATTTAATCAATAAATTTTTGTTAGAAAAACTCCAGGTCAACTTTCTTAAACTTCGACTTTTAAGAACTGTGACCAAAGAAATTTACATTTTGGCACATTTCCAAGGCTTTAAATTCAAAATCGTATCTAATCAGTATGCATTCAGCAAATCCGAACGATTAGAAATAAACCAATCTATTTGTGTTATTTTCGTTGCGAAAAAAGGAAATGTCTTTCGTGCTTCTGGATTAAGAGAGGTTTAAAAATAAATGTCGGCTTTTTTCGTTTCTTCTTGAAGTAGATGAGATAAGTGTCTGAGATCAAACAAAAAGAAATCAAACCGTGCACTCGGAGTTAAATAATAAATGTTGGAAAATCGAGATTCCGAATCCGAAATAAATCTCTGAAACACCGAGAAGTCGCTTCTAAAGTATTCCCAATTAGTGTAATTAACACGGAGATATTAAACCCTTAGGAGAATTTTTGAACCGAATTAATGAAATGTTTTAGCTATAGTGCCAAAATTTATTCGATTAAAGACAAAACATACAGCCAAGTGCACCACCCCCGACCTCGCCACTCATGTTTACAACATTCGACGAAGTCCCGATCAAAGCACCCCAATAAAATCTCAATTCGCTTTTTAAACAACAAATCAATTGCAGGAAATAGTGGTCGTGTTCGTTTTTTAATTAAATTTATTTATTGCCCCGACGTTCAGCAATTAAATTAAAACGGAGTTCAAAAACCTCAACGCACCACAAAAATCAATCGTTTTAATAGAAAATAAACGTTGATTTGTAACAATAATTTTTAAATATGTTATAAAAAAAAATATGTATGTAACTCGAGTAGAAAAAATTAAGAAGTGATTAAATGGTTAAGAACCGTCTACTTGACTGTAACTTCAATCATTACTATTACGTTACAAAAAAAATAGATTTATTACAGTGGCACCTCGATAAATCGAACCTATACATATTTCGAAATTCCGATAAGTCGAAGTGGTTGGCTGGTTCCGAGCATTACTAAAAGAAGTCAATGTAATTTTCCTTCTATATCTCGGCCCTCTTTAATTCGAATTTCTGTTCTCCTCTACTGTAAACCTTCATAAGTCGAAGTTTTTTTGAAATTCCCACAATTTTACGAAATGCAGATTGGATTAATTTCTGCACTGTGTTCTCCGTCTGTTTACAAGCAATTCAAGGCCTGTGAGCTTTTTTTTTAAAAAAAAAAGAAAAATGCATTTGACAGTCTTCAATAAAAGATTTTCTTTCTGTCAGAAGACAGATAAATAAATACAGTGAGTCCTCGATTCATTTTTTGGGATTCAGCCCTGCTTGGTTGAAGATTAATTTCTAACAATTTTAGTTTTGAAAAAAACAAGTATGCCTTGGAAACTTCCAAAAACTTATTTCTCTGTAGAGTAAGGTGCTTTTTATATGGCAAATACGACAAAAAGTTATTAAGAAAAACTATTTAGAATCAACATTTAAGCCCCTACACCAAATTTCAAAATCATCGGCCAACTATGATTTAATAATTTTTTCCAAGGTGTGTTTTTTATTAACAGATACGTCAAAAAGTTATTTAGTACTAATAATCTAAATGTACATTTATTTTATTCGTAATAAAAAAACTGTTAAAAATAAAATTCTTTGATTTGTGAAATAATAAACATAAAAAAGTGAAAAATCATAGTTAGCCGATGATTTTTTAAAATTTGGTACAGGGACTTAGATGTTGTCGTTTTTGCCACATAAAAACACTTTATAGTAAAATAAATTTTATTGAAAATTTCTAACGCATACTTAATTCTTCAAAACTAAAATTACGTTAGAAATTAGTGTTTAACCAGAGCTAAACCCCATAAAAATTTTTAATCGAAAATGTTTTTTGTTTTTCCTATTTGACCTTTGAGTCGTTTCATATATTTTATGCCGTAAGAAGTTAGTTTTTGTGTACATTTTATAATTTTAAATAAAACAATATACATGTGTCAGAACTAATGATACCGATGATCTTGTATATGTTTTTTTTTATAATTATTTAATAGAGGTATAAAAATTTGGCCATAAAAGTCACAAATACCATTAAACAAAGTTACAATTTAACATACAGCTTCCTTGCTTCCTCTTCTAATAGCCTGTAGCTAAAAAAACTTTAAAAATTATTTTTCCAACAAAAATAAATAGATAACTTCGAAATTTTTATAGATAGAATTTTTTTTAACATTTTTTTTCCATGTTCCTGGCATTTTTCTCTGAGGCGCGAGTTGTGGCACACCCTGTATAAAAAAGCAATATTCTATATCTCGCAACCTCGATAACTCGAATAATTTTTTTGGCAATAGGTACTTCAACTTAACGAGGTTCCACTGTATTTGTCTCAAATTGCACATCAATATTCCAGATAACAGCGTATAAACCTCAAGTTACATTGACAATGTAATTAACAACTAAAACAATTCAATCCACAGCAATTTGGGACATATTTTAACAAATTAAAAAAAATTCTGTCCTAATTAAATACTTACGAGTCAGTATCATTTTCTTCCACTTTTCCACTATTCTGCACATTATACTGCACATCATCCAAGAAACTCCTATCGATTTGCCCCCCATCGGGGCAAAACTCCTCCACTGACGTAATCGGACTGATCTCCAACCTCCTCAGATCCGGAATTCCCCCTTCGACCACTTGGTCCCCCCCAATCTTACTAATAAACCCGGAGCCTTTCAACACTTGTGCCCCCCTCTTCGCTCCGGGATTCCCATACGGAATTGGTTTTCCGGCTCCAATGACAATCGGACCGCTCTGTGACCGTTTGACGTCACATTGGACCCCATTCGAGGGGGCGACTTGTTGACTAGACGCCGATGGCCGGATTTGTTGGGCCGGAGGTGGAATGTTGGCGTTGGAATCGGCGATTTCGCGGCGTTTTCGCACCAAAGTCTCGAGGAATTTGCTGTAATTTGCTTCGTCCGAGTCGGAGAACATGTCGAGTTCTTGGATGGTGGCGGCGATTTCCATCTCGTTGCGTTCGAGTTGGCGGAGGAGGGTCTCCTTTTGGAGTTGGAGGAAGGGGAGGTTGAAGAATTTGTGGAGGAGTTTCAGGCCGAAACCGTTGCGCATTGAGGACTCAGAGTAGCGGATTTGCGCCGAACGGGTGCTGAAAAATATTTTTCATGATCGGTTTCAAAATTTGTCACCCACCTTGCAATTGACTCGATATAAAAAGTGACATGGTCGGAAGTAACCGTCCTGTGGTGCCCCATATCACAATGATTTGCTAAAATAATGACAGGGATGTGATCGGGGACTTTCGGGAGTTCTCTTTGGATGTAGTCAAATGTCCAAGTTTTAGTCAAATCCATCATCATAATAACCCCGTTAGTCCCCTTGTAAACGTCCAAAAATTCCGCATCCAGAGCCGGCTCTTCCGGCATTTCAATCTGCGAATTTTCCAGTTTCAAGCCCTCAAAACGCTTCTTTTTCTTCCCTCTATCCACAACATCCCACACTTCGACCTTAACAATATCATCAGTCGCCTTGTAATTCCACTGAATTGAAGTCACTTGAATTTCCTCAGTTGGTATATACTCCTCTATAAATTTCTTCCCCTGAAGTCGATTAAACAAACACGTCTTTCCCACATTCCTGTCCCCCTTGATCACAATTTTCACTAGAAAAAATTACCATAAACCCGGGGAATCCCCCAAAACATGACTTACTATTGTATTGCACGCCCCTTGCAAATTTTCTTTGAAGCGAAGATGACATCGCCTGATGACTCGGGGGCCTCGAGACGACTGTAGAGTTATTAGGGGAGCCATCACCCTTACTTGCAAAACGTTTTATAGCCGAAAACATTCTTGTTTGGCACTTGACCAGATTTCCATATGGTTAATGGAGATGAATTTTATTTTACAGAAAACATGCATAGAATAAATACAAACACCTCGGCAAACGCGTCGGTCACAAAAACAACTATTGTTTCATTTTATTTATCGCCAAATTTAATTCAAGATAAAATTATTTACATGACCTTCGAGACAATTGACAGCTGACAAGTGACAGTGTCGCCACACCAAGAATTAAAATAACAAAGAAAACCAAAATATTATACAAAAATTAATTATCACATTTACATTACACAATATGTGGCACTTGAACCCACTCTTCATGTTCCTTATCCAAACGTTTTTCAGTTATAAAATGTAGAATAATTTTTGAGATTTCCAATTTTTGTTTTCACGCATCACGTGACAAAAATAACTGACATGATTGGTTAATTTCACTTATTATTGAAGTAAAATAAATAGGTTGGTTTAATTTCAATTATTATGGAAGTAAAATGAATAAGATCGCTAGAGTATTAATTTATTTATCACATTGAGACATATTTGGCACTCAAACCCACTCTTCATGCCCCCTATCCACCACTTCCTTCTTCACCAGAATCTGACTCGTCACATACAAAATGTTCACATCCCGGCTCTCCTTCACTTTATACTTCTTCCTCCTCGCCCCCTTATTCCTGGGGCAATGAACACAGCACGTGTGCTCCTGTCTGTCCTCCTTGCCTTTCCTTCTCCTGCTTTTCGGCATTCCTGCTAAAATACACTGCTGCAAAAGCACTCTTTCCGCCTCGCTCAACTCGTGTGATTCCTTTACCGCCGATGGCCCCCCTTGAGTCAAATTCTTGTTTTTGGGCATACCGGAAAGAATACATTGCCGAAGAAGGGCCTGTTCGGCCTCTGTCAGTTCCGACGAATCGTCCTCGAACGGTTTTTTCGGGATACTTCGGCACTTTTTCATCCCTTCAAGGATACACTGTTCGAGGAGGGCTTTCTCGGCGGGGGTCAGGTCAGGGGATTGGGGGCGCTTCGGCATGCCGGCTTCGATGCATTGCTGGAGAAGGGCTTGCTCCGACTCCTCGGAATCGGAGTCACTGAAGTTACCCTCCAAGGAGAATTCAGCTGCAAAAAATTAAGACACAAAAGTGATTTGTTATTATTTTTAACTCCAGTATTACATTTTTTTGGCGTCCTAGAAGCTTCACCAAATTTCTCGTGATTAAACTTATTTTTTGCAATTACGGCCATTCCAAATTTTACACACTCTTCCAATAACTTTTCGTCTTCTTCGTCCGAAAAATTACTAAGGTCGGAAAAGTACTCTTTTTCGCCCCCGTTTTGTATAGATAATGTGCTAAGATCAGAGCAAGAACCGGCATGGCTTAAAATCGCAGGAGTGTCTTCAGTGCAATAATTCTTAACTGAATCATTCACAATTTGTGGTTGTGTATATCTATGAAAAACAAAGTCAAAAACACAATTGTTTTGTTCATTTTTTACCTATTTTTGGTAATTCCGATGTTTATACAATCCGTTAATATTTTATCATCTTCATCAGACGATTGATTAAGTTCCAGATCCGGATTAGATAAATTTTTTGGCACGTCAGAGGGCCCCGAAATTGATGGTTGTGACGGCATCCCCGCTAAAATACACTCCTGAAGCAACGCCTCCCCTGATTCGTCCGAATCGTCACTCAAAGAAAAAGACGAGCGTCGAGACGGCGGGCTTCCGGTTGTTGGAATTTCTGAATAATTAAATAGAAAATTTCAGGTGTGATTTCAACAATTTCGATTTTTAGTTACCAAATATTTAGATTTGTCCTCTGAATAGTAGATGTGCCACCAATTTGCAAACACCAAACTACTTCAAAACGATCATATGTAAATTTATATAATAAACGAAATTAATAATAATAATTATTATAATTATGTTTCATTAATTAAAACAAAAATCGATTTATTAGATTATTGGCAGTTTATTTTTCTGATAACTAAACAAATCAAGTGCTGCTTTTGCGTTGGTGTCAAAAACGTAATAAAACATACAGGATGTCCCAGCGAGTAGAAAAAATCCATTAGTGACCTTTAAATGGTAAATTAAAAAAAAATGTACAGGACATTGATAGATACTAATCTAGTGCATTACCTAAAATTATTTTCAACTATACATCATGTCCCAAAAATAAGTTACGATACAAACTTGTATTTTTTTAAATGAAACATACGGTGTTTCTTGGTATTTTTGGATGTAGCCTTTTAAAACAGTGTTTATACGCTAAACTTTTATTAGTTGATTTTGCTTAGTTCTAGAAATAAGACGGTTTTTTGACGAAAACATGCACTTTTAAACAATTTATTAAACAAAAACTAAGACAGCTAGAACAAATTTTTTCTTACTTCTACAAAGAAGAAAGTACAAAATTTAAAGCTGTAACAATTTTTTAGTGTTTTGCATCGTAAAGATTAATAAATTAAGAAGTTTGTTAAAAGTTGAATAACTTAAAAAATTTAAATGGTGTTCCGTATTTTTTATTTTTGCATCTAATAGATTGATAAATGCTCTATATAAAAATAAGTGATATTTCTTCTCTTGTACACTTTTTGGCTACTGAAACAGTAATAATTATTTTTTTTTATGTTTAACATTAAATATCTTTTAAGTTATTAATTATAAACACCTAAAAGTAAATAATTTTAAAAAGGCAATTTAATAATCTTTTAAATGCAAAAACAATAAAAATGGTGTTCCATTTAAAATTTTTAAGTTATTGAACTTTTAACAAACATCTTCATTTTTTTATCTTTGCATATGCAACATTACTAAAGAAAGTGTTACAACTTTATAGTTTGTACCTTCTTCTTTGCGGTAGTAAAAAATCTAAATGTCTTACTTTTTGTTTAATAAATTTTTAAAAATTTCATGTTTTTGTGAAAAAAAAACGTCTTATTTTTAAAACTGAACAAAATCGACCAATAAAAGTTTAACTTAAAAACACTATCCAAAAACGTTAAGAAACATAGGTGTTTCATTAAAAAAAATACAACTTTGTATTGTAACTTATTTTTGAGGCACGCTGTATAGTTGAAAATAATTTTAAGCAATGGACTAGATTAGTATCTATGAATGTTCTATATAATTTTTCTTTTAATTTTATCATTTAAAAGTCACTAATGGACTTTTTCAATTCGTTGGGACACGTGTATATCGTAATACAATTTATTTGGTGACAAATCTACTATTTTGAAGACATAGTTATTTATTTGATTTATCGGATTTATAAGTTACGTTGATTATTCGTTTATTTTTATTTTATTCGTAAAAGTCAAAGAATTTGGCTTGATGACAAATGTTTATTTTGGTGACAGGTCATTTTTTCCCAATTTTTCGAACCGAAAATATACTTACCGAGCGTTTTCGGACCTGACACCCTATTATCATGACTTGGTCCAGGATCAACTCTACATCAAAAATCGATAGTAAAAAAAATTGACAACAAAAAAATCTTACTCTAAAATTTCATTTCTTTCGGACTTTCCAAGCAATGAAAGGTTGCTAAGGTCCGAATTCGACCCGGCATGACTCAAAATGGCTGGAGTGTCTTCGGTGCAGTACGTCTTAACCGAATCACACGTGATATCCGATTTTTCTATAATTTCATCCTTTTTACTAAATTTATAATTCGGTGGCAAGTCATTTGGGGGCGGTGGTGTCGCCTTGGGTTGGCTATATCTACAACAAACATCTTCAAATCGAGTTAAACTTCAAAAAAAAAGAAAAAACCTATTATTTTGCATCCCTATGTTAATACAAGCCGCCAAAATTCCCTCATCTTCGGAACTTTCGCTCAAATTATCTAAAACCGGTTCTGCTTCTTTACCACTATTGCCAACCTCTCCGGTTTTGGCATCAATTTCGTCATCTATTAAACTACTCAAACTAGTCGCAGTTGAAAAATGTGATGGAGTCCTCTCCGTTTCAAATTTCTTAACTGCGTCTTCGAAAACGCTCGATTTTGGCACAGTTTTTCGTCTGGGGTGTTTGCGAGGTTTGGGGCTCGGGGGGACCGTCTGGGAGGGCGAATCGGGCAGTTCACTTGGCGAAATCAAACCGCTGGTCAACCGACTAAAAAACGAGTTTTTATGTGGCCAAATGGGGAGCCAAATCACCTGAAATCTGACACGACGGAACTGCGGTCATCGTGAATTGAGTGTTGCTCAATACTGTCCAAGGACGCCAACGAACTCGTCCTTGAAAACATCAACGGGGTTTCTTCAGCGTAGTTCACGACTTCTTCGAATTTCACGGCTTTCGGTTCTCTTGTTTCTTTCTTCTCAATGAGAGTTTCTTCTTCCTTCAACTCCGGTTTGGGGATTGAGTTTAAAGAACCGCAACTGGGGACGCGCGAGAAGTACCCCGGAGTGCCCTCTTCGCAGTAATTGACCGGCTTTTCCGGTGACATAAGGCCGGAACTAAACTCGGATTTGATTTTTGGAGGGGCTATTTCTTTGTTAATCACAGTCACGTCTTTTGACTTCAAGGGGGCTTTATCGTCGATGCGTAAATCGGACATTGACGTAGACGTGGAGAAGTTAAAAGGGGTTTCATATGGCGTGTCTTCGGTGCAGTAAGTCTTTATAGTGTCTTGTACGAATTCACCAGTTTCAGTCTTTGTTATTTTATTACACTGGTCGGAATCAGAATCATCTTCTGCATATCTCAACGAGTAGTCAGTTGGCTGGTCTAAATCAGTCTCTGCATACATTGTAAAACTGTTATGGTAACTCTTGACGACTTTATTAAACGTGCAATTGCGAGGATTTTTGAGTTGTTTAGTTTCACAATATTTTTTACTAAAATCGACGGGTTGTTCACTTGGCTCGGTTTCATCGTCACAATTACAACCCGAGTAGTTAGTTCGGAGAAAATTGACCGAAACTGGCGAATCTGGAGACACCAAATTTGGAAGACTCAAAGTACTGTGATTCTTGGGAAACTTGCCCCTCCCTGGGGAATTATCTTGTGGAATATGTGACCGCTCGTTAATTCCCAAACTCGAGAAGGCTCCAGTTATGCCCATCATATCGACTTCTGTTACTAATTAATAATAATTAATGAAAACACTCCACTTAACTATAAACAAACTTTTGACACTTAAATGACAGTGACAGGTGGGTCAAATAGGAAACTGCAAATTGTAATTCCATTCACGATAATTTATCGAAAATCGCAAATTAATTATCCAGTGTGTAATTTAAGTATCTACTACAACATTAACATTTGATTAATATTACAATGTTTGAGTTTTTTGATCAATCAAAAAGATTGTTAATTTAAATCACGTGATCTCATGAAGTTACGTCAGTGACTGGAATCCTAACCTCATTTTTTTAGAAAACAACCCCATAAACTATTTCGCATGTTTTGTGACTGAAAAGCGTAAAATATGAATAAAACAGAACTGGAGGGCACTGCCCACTTGTTAGATGAGCTCGACAGTAAGTTTCTAGGGGCATAACCCCAAAATTTATCATTTCTTGTAGAAAAACTAATGGTGTTATTACGTGATGGGAGAACTCTAATCGGTTATCTTCGAAGTGTTGATCAATTTGCAAATTTGGTTTTACACCGGACTATAGAACGCATTCATGTGGGTAAAGAATATGGGGATATTCCCCGGGGTGTCTTTATAGTGAGAGGCGAAAATGTTGTCTTATTGGGGGAGATTGTGAGTGAAATTTGAAGTTTGTGATTTTTTAAACTTTGTTCAGGATTCAGAGAAAGAAACCGAATTGCCTTTGACTGAAGTGTCAGTGGATGAAATACTCGATGCTCAAAGACAAGAACAGGAGTTAAAACAAGAACAACAAAAGTTGGTCTCGAAGGCATTGAAAGAACGGGGGCTTCACTTAATGGCAGATTTGACTCACGACGACATGTTTTAAATCTCATTTTTAGGTAAAGAAACAAAAAACCCTAATTATCACTATTTATTAAAATTTCTCATTTTTATGTCATTTGTTATCTTTAATAAATATATTTACAAACTGATACTGTTTTTTGTATTATAATTACAATTAAAATGAGGTTTCAAATACTATGGGTTGTCCATTTTCATCGAACTGTTTTGGTTTGAGAACAAGTTCCTTCTCACCTCCTGGGTCATTCCCGTCCAAACAACTCAATAAAGAATCAGTCATTTTGTCGGGGCTTAAATCGTTGAATTCATTTGAATTAAAATCATCAGTCCGACTTGAAAAACTCGAATCCGCTGCGGGCGACGACGTCGTTAACATACTCCGATTTTCCAGATACTCCCGAAAAGTCTGACTCAGGGAATTGTCCTTCTCCTCCCCCAACTCCTCAGGGACTTCATCCATAGTCTCAACTGTCTCAACCTTCACCAACGTGTTGATATTCGTCCCGGAAACAAGCAAGACCGGCTTCCTGCTTCTCGGAGTCATCATCGTTTCCTACAGCAACAAAAACAAATCAAAATAGATGGCAGCACCTGTGGTGAAGTCGGAGAAAAAGCGACACAAAAGGAAGATAAGCGAGTCGACTTCCCCCATACCTGCATGGCTCTGGTCATACGCTGTGTGGATCTGGTTATGGGTGACATGGACTTACGGTCCTGCTCATCGGGGGTGAAATGCAGAGCGACGCATGCCGGCGTGCTCGTTATTCCGATACCCGTTTCGGCATCGGACGATTCACCCTCAGTCTGGCTTGTCGACCGGCGCATTTTTTTCGACTGTGGCTCATCATTGGCCACTTGATCGGGACTCGAATCGCAGTTTGTACAGAAAAGGCGGGCGCGAGTTAGGGCTGTCTGAAGAGGGGGCGTCTGCAAAAGCATGCAACATGATGCACAGGGTGTGCAAAATTTGAGCAAAGGTCAAGACACACTCCACCAATCACACGCCGCCACCTCCTCGAAACTGCTAGCTACCCCAGATTAGACAAGCATGAAAATTAGCCAAAAATACGGAGAACTAAATATTAGGAGGCGAAACGAGATACAAAAATACCCAAAAATATAGTATGCAGAGTAAAATTGAGGGCAAAAAAATACAAAAATGTTGTTCTTAATAGTCTGTGAGAAACAAGAGAAACAAAATGCAAATTTAAAATTCGTGTTCAGTGCCATATTTTTCAAAATGCTACAAATACGATTAAGGATACAACAAAATGTGAGAAAGAAAGTTGTAGAGAATTAAATTTCCTACAAAAAAGTCCGTGCGATCATATCTCTATCTTTAACGGTTTAGGCCCCAAAGAAGACGTTCAAACAACTGATTCGTTTCATTTTTTTTTTCTATTTTAAACAATTTAAGCCTAAACCGTTGAAGATAGTAATATGGTGTCGCGGACTTTTTTTGGAAGAAATTTAGAGGTTTCCAAAAGCCAAAAGTGCACACCTGGGAGAAGCCTAATTGTGCACAAACTTGAGAGGGGAAACAAAGCAGTGGCGTAACAAATTAACTTTGCTAAATATTTCACTTACAGTTTTCTTTTTTTGTATTTATAGCCACTTACAGCAAAATTCAGACATACTTACCACTTAGTAAAAAATAATGTTCAGTGCTTAAAAGCTTCGGAACTTTTGCTATAAAATGTGGTAAAATGTGTCACTCTGAAAATTATAAGAAAACACAAACGAACGCAAATGAGTTATTAAAAAGTGCTACAAATGCAAAACTAATTTAAATTGAAGCCTCGATTGAAACTTTGTTATAAAACGTTGAAATATTGTAAGCACACTTTTTAAACCGATTGTGACCAATCTGTGTTACTGTTTTTTATTTTATCTCTTTTAAATTCAGCTTAAATTCAGCTTAGCAACCAATGAAATACGTCTCTAAGGCATTCAGATTTAAACTGAAAAATCTTATACATATTTGATATTTACATTGACAGTTCTGCTGGCAGTTTTATAAAATGTTTTAGAAGATTTAATTATAAATTTGGGGGAAAGTGATTTTGACACTAATTTTGAAGTTTTTATTTTCTACTTGTTCTTCTTGTTCTACTTGTTTTTAATTTTGTTTGTAGTACATAATCAGACTTTAACTGGTATTTGTTATTTTATGTTGATGGGGCAGATCAAATGTTTATTGTAACGGCGCTACCATACATTAGCAACTATCGAAACGATAAAATTTACCTAAAGTTAAAAGTGTTAAAAGTTATTAAAAGTATTAAAAAAAAACTGCATTTTAAATTAATTTTTTTTAATGAGTTTTAATAGTTTTTTTATAGTCCTTTTCAAATATTACAAGAATACAGCTGGCATTTACTTTACTTTAGTTTTAATTTTGTTTTACAAATAACCGCCTTATTTATAAAGTTAGCGTTTTGGCGCAATGGTAACAATAATTTCTTATCTGAAGACGAGTCGATTGAGATTAAGATTGGACTCGTCCGGGAAGCGTTTTGATCATCTACGCATACAAATACAAATTGACAACTAAATTGACAAGGGCAAAACCTGTTTCAATCTAAAGAAAATTCTATTTTCCGTTTTTATTGCAACCAACTGTACACTCCCAGGTGTGTACTTTTAGTTTTTTCCCCACTCTAATTCTCTACAACTTTGTTTCTTATATTTTTTTGATCTTCAATCATATTCTCAAAAAATATAGAACGGAACGCAAATTGATAATTGTTTATCTTTTTTTTTTAATATTATTTTAGATTTTTTTGAGAACGCTACAAATACGGTTGAAGATAAAAAAAAATAAGTGTAAGGAACAAAGTTGTAGAATATTAAATTTCCTCCAAGTCTACGAGACCATCCCTCTATCTTCAACCTTACGTTTAAATTAATTTTAAAAATTCACTTGAGCGTCTTTGGGGCCTAAACCGTTGATGATAGAGTTAATGTGGTCTCCCAATTTTTTTTAAAGAAAATCTAATTCTCTATCGCTTTCTTTACATTTTTTTGTATCCAACTGTATTTACAAATTGTTAAAAGTCCAAAAATTGTTTAAATATAGTTTCGATAAAAATTTTGCATTACCTTTATCTCTTATTATTGAGAATTTAATGCTCTATTTGCTCTGCCATTTTTTATTCATTGCTCCTAAAACTTAGACCAGAAAAGAAATGTCTCGTGTCGCAACCCCCAACCTTTAGTTATCCGTGTGAAAAACAAGCAAAAACAACAACACGACTTACATGCAAATTTTCCTCGCTGCTTACCCTCTTCTTCAAGCTCTTGACGACGCTTTTATGAAAAATGTGCTTTTTGATGGAATCACCCAAACTCTTATTTTTCTGTACACCACTTCTTAGCACTTGAAGTGGCGTCCCGTGGCCATTCTCCTTATTAAACTGTTTGACCAATTTGCGTTTTTTCGAGGATTCTGGGAGGCTCTGGATATGAGCGTAGAGTTGGGCTAAAGCAGTCTCGGTTGTGTTAGTTTCATTTTCTTTTGCCGTCCTTTCTTGGTCGACAAAAGTGAAAACGGTGCTGGCGGCACACTGATCTGTGGCCGATTCGTTGAGACAGTTTGCGGACAAAGCTCGACGTTTCTCGTATCGGGCCCGAAATTCGAGTATCAAATTTTGGGGGATTTTAAACAATTCGGAATTTTTGATAATCATAAAAGAGACAATTCCGGCGAGGGTTTGAGATGTGACGTGAAGCTGCTCCGGGGATAATTTTCGGGGGCACAAAAGGTGAGGGGTGAAGAGTTTGGCTAAATTATCAGCGGACATTCTGTTGAAAGATTCAAAAGATGCGGTGAAATTCAACAAATCGAGGATGTCCTTCAATAAAACTTTGTTTTCGGTGGGGAGGAGCAAGAGGAGGAGTTGGAGGGCGGCGAGGAGCTTCTCTTCTTGCACCGTATTCTCTTTATTGACACACAATTCTAAAAATTAATGAGTAATCAATAAAACAATTTTTGATTGAAATTACCGGCGATTTGGCAATAAGCAGGATAGTGGGCTTCAGTGAGTAAAGGGTCGGGCAATTCGGCTAGAAAACCCTTTAAGACAGAGGCACAGTCGTGGATACTGTAAGTGCCCCCCTCAAGCTCCAACGTGACCCCCCGACTGAGCAAATTTCGCAATTCTTGTTGCCTTGTGAGAGACCCTGTTCGGCGAAAAACACCCTCGACTTTAATATCTACAAAGCGAAAACATTAACCCGAAAAAAACAAAACAACTGTGCTCACTTTGCTCCTTTTTCAAAAATTCAATCAACTGATACACTTGACAAATCCCCTCTTGGGTCAAGGGTGCCCCGTCTAGAGCCCCCTTACTCTTCTTTTTATTAAACGGGACTAGAGACCACTTTTTTAACCGAGTTTTCTCCGACAAAGGCTCGTGTCTGTAATAAACCCGATAAAATTTTCCCTTCAAAATGGGGTAAAACTTACTCATTGGTCGCCTGGTCCAACAAAAACGATAAATGCATCCGAACCAAAATATGAAACTGTTCATTAAACTCCCTTTTAAACTTTTCAGTCAAACTTTCGTCACTCAGATTTAATTCGCACATTTTAAACCAATTTGAATTGTTTAAGGTTAGGTTTGGAAATCACCACACGTTGCTTAAATATGCACTAAATTTACACATATTGTGTACAATTGTATATTATACGATTGACTCGTTGACTGAATCGGTCAAAATATGATAAAATAGCACCATTTGTGTAAAAATTGCTAAATAAATAATACTTTTTGAATTGTTTGACAGAAATTACGTTATAAACAAATTTGAATTTTTGACAGTTGATCCAAGGAGCGTGCGCATTGCCAACGTTCACTTTTGAAAAAACTAGATATAAAAATTTTTTGCATTAAAAATAAGACGAAAAGGATTTTGGTTGCAAGTAAATATATCAATTACATGTTTTTGTATCTTTAATTACGTGTTTTTAGCATGAATGATAACTTTTAGGATTTGTATAATTGGTTGCCTATCTAAATAAAACACTATTTCTTATTTTTATTTTATTTAACACCTAAATTCACACATCAAACAGTTGAACTAAACTCAACGTAAATAAACTGTAAACAAATAAATAAACAACGTCTAAAATAACAACATGCATTTGTATAAGATGATGTATCAAACATTTATAAATATGTAGCCCCTAGAAATTCATCTAATCGCTATCATCATCATTCCTGTTCCTGTTTAACGGTCTTTTACTTTCTTCATCTGATCCATAAATAACATCCTCATCCGAGTCATTTATCATAGAAAATGCCGGATTATCTTTCGTAATATCAAATTCTGATGAGAGAAAAAATAACGTATGCAACTCGTGTAAAAATCACTTACCATGAACGGCCTTGTAAGCAGGCGAATAGACGTACGCCATTGTATAAATATAAAAATTGAGCAGTCCGTAGAAAGACATGAATTGGGCAGAACTGTTATAATGCGTTGATAATTGCGCTACAAAATTATCTTCAAGAATACCAACACCGAAGCGTAGTACCGTAATAACGAAGGTTATTGCAATAACAACAATCATCAATAAAGTTAAAAACTTTAGTCGCAGCCCTGGAAAAAATATTTTAATCGCAACGTACTAGATATTTTAATAAATCACCAAAAAATGGCATCGATCGTAATTCAGTGTAGGCCTTCAGTATCAAAATCACCAAATAGACAAGATATATGACTCCAAAAATAAAAAAGAAAGCTTTCAAAGTCTGCAAAAATATTTAAGTAAGTCGTATTAAAGGAGTGGTTAAGTTACGTTAAAAGTGGGCGTGTCGACCACGTGATTATACGTGGGGTCCTGCAATTCGCTATATTTCTCCCACGTGGCCAAAATAATAGCCGGAAGCCACAACATCCCCACGATAAACACTTTTGGAAAATAAAACGTCAAAATTCTTCTTTCGTTCTGAAAAAGCCAACTTCAGGTCACACGCGACGTAAACTGCAACTTCACCTGTCTCAATCCATGGTAAATACACAACCAAAACAAAAGCAAAGCGCACAAAAACGTGGCTTGTGCGATGGCGTCAATCATCCCCGGAATCCAAGAATTAACCAGAAACATCATCGGAAACACCGGATCTGTTTCAATTTACAGAAGAACAAAAATGGGACTACTTACTGTTATGACCAAGTAAAAGGGGTAGCAATAAAGACATCCACTTCTGTTCGATTGACCAGTCGTACATGGGGTACTTACGGAGGGTACAAGCAAACCAACACTGTAAAAGAGTGTCGTAATGAGGCTATTAAAGCATTCATTTACTCACCGCGACAATGAAAGTCGCCGAAAGGAAAATAAACCTGAACCCGATTTCGATTTGGGTAAACGCCGGGTTGTAGGTTTTAAACTGGAATAAAACATTGCGATTGGTTGGTTTAGAGTGTCAAAACACGTACGTAGAACGTTAATTGGTTGATTTCGTAGCGTTTATGGAAGGCTTCCAATCCGTAAAAATTCAAAGTTATTATGTAATGAGTATAGTCCAGAAAACCTAAATGGAGGACGACGAATTCGTCACATCTCTGATTCTCGCAGGTCAAGTGACGAGTCCTGAAACATACAACTTGGAAATTGTATTGTTGGTTGCCTATAGCGAACCTATTTCTCGTGTGTTTGCCGTCCAGGATTGGCACAGGTTTGTGGTCCTCATCTACCCCCTCGATTGTGACCGAAATAAGAAAACTCTTATCATAAGATTCATCTAAAAAGTTTGTGTTACTTGTGCGCGCATAATTATTTTTCTCTACAACCATCGGTATTTTCCGTTGATAGTTTCGCAATGACCCACAATTGTTGCGAATAGGTCACAAGTGACGGGGTCTTCATTATGAAAGGGCCTGTCGCTATAGAATTACTGTGATTATCTTTATTTAATAGAGTTTTAGCGTCGAGTTCTGTCGTGCTGGTTATAGGGGGACCTGCAATACCTATGAAAAGTGCGAGGCCAAAACAGGCAAAAAATGCTATAAACACCATAACAAACTCCCTCTTATGCATCGAATATAATCGCATGTAAACCGATCTGGAATTTCCACAACTCAAAACTCTATTTTGGTAAATTTGACTAACCTTTCGCATCGATCGTGGTGATATGCCGGGGCTATGTATTTATCAAATTCGCTAAACAAATCACTGAACTGTGATAAGACGTTTCGGATTTTTAAAAGCCAGCCTCCGGAAGGCAAGTGGTAGGAATATCCAAGACCAACTCCATCTAATTTTGCCATTTTTTCTAGAAATGGCTTTAAAGGAAAAATTCCGGGTCGGTTATTGATACGTACCCAGATTTTAATTCGTATAAATTATTCAAGTACAAAGCTTAATCTAAACCAACTGATTAGTTGTAATAGGTAAAAAATAGTGTACCAACAGGTAATTTGTACAATACTGAAGGTTTGCTCGCATGGCGAGTTTATTGATCTGCGCTGAAGCTAAACGCGACAAATTGGTGATGGTCTCTCACGTGCTGTTTATTCAAAATGAAATAAACATTTCTTGCAGTGAAGAGTGACATAGTAAAGCTTTGGAATTAATTAATGTTAGTGCTAGACAAGGACACATTTACATAAACTGCATTAAATAAACAGAGATAAACAATAAGAGATTTTGACGCAAGAACCAAAACCTATTTTTTAAAATTTTTATGAAAAAAATTTGTTTGCATTGTACTCCCAAACTTTTACATTTGGAACGTCATTTTAATGAAAATGATATTGAGGCTGCGACAATGTATAAAGTAGGTCGAGGCCGATCGGTCTATGTTGCCAATTCTTAAATTTTGTGTATTACTTTTTTATTCATTTATGGTTACAAATTCGTAAAAAAAATTGAAAACTCCCGTGACAAGTTACAAATTATACGTTGTCAACAATAATAACTACAAAAATGCGAATTTAAAGAAAAATTTTCTTTCGGGCTAAATAAAAAAAATACTGTAAACAAGTTTATGTTCGATGAAAACGTTGAAAATCGTTTGCTTTTTCTACTTTTTTTAATACAAAATATTATCTAAGAAATGCAAATAAAACACTGAAAGAAAACTTTGAGGGCTTAATATTTTGAAACAGTGTTAAAAACTATTAAAACTCTTCAATAAGTGATTTATTATCAATACTATTTTCTAATAAATTTTAAAACTACAAGATGGAGTATAAAGTAGCAATAATGATGGTACTTTTAGTAAAGTTTTCTTTATTTCTAGATTAATAGTTATTTGTATCACAAGGCCAGAAATTGTTATTTTGCAAGTGCACACTATTTTTTGGTCCGGCCAATTTTAACTTGTCTCAAAGTTCAAAAAAATTCAAATACATAAGTACTTAAGTTGGCAACAAATTTGAAAGTATTATTGTTAATAATTTGAACACTGCAACCGGGTACGGTTTTACTTAACAAATACTTGACGTACAACCCCTCAAGATTGTTAAATTGTTGTTCATTAGAAACATACTCCAGTGGTATCCTATAAATATTGAAGTCGGGATTACCAACATATTAATTAATTCTTGATCACTTTATTGTAGTTTGCGATAGGGAAGTTAAATGTGTAAATTTAGGTTGGCAACACAATGTCCAAATTAAATTCCAAATTATTAAATTCAATCCAAATAAAAAAAAATAATTCAATACATAAAATATTTGCTAAGAAAGCAAACCGCTTGTCATTTAAAAAATGTCAACGGATAACCAATATTACCAACATTTGGTACTTTTTTTGAGGATGTTTCCAGCAAAATAAACGTTTCCAGGCGGACCAAAAAATTTTATTCGCAATTTTGTTTGTCATAAAATCCATCATTTTTTCCATAGCGAAGTAACACCGTAATACCGTAAATAGTGCTTAACTTTTATTAAAAAAATAATTTTGTACACAACTCAATCGATAATATAATTGGGATGAACCACCAACATGGCATCCTCCTCCTCCTGCTGATCCCTCCCAAGTCCCGTCCTCGTCAATGGAATGATGACTTGATCCTAAAACGATCCAATCAAACAGTTTCTCCCAAAACTCGCAACTTACGTGATAAATCAACCGATCTATGACTTTCTCAATCAACTCCTTCTTCTCCAACAACTCCTCCTCCGACTCGATGTCTTCCGCGATCAAATTCAAGTACCACTCCACCAAATCACTCCTCCTGATCCCCTCCTCGTTCTCCTCATCTCTCCTAGCCTCCTCCCGTCTCATATAAACCACGATTTTGTTACTCAAGATTTTATAATCCTCGAAACTGAGTTGCAACTTCTTCTTGGTTGGTTGTGGCTCAGTTTCCTGAGTCGTGCTTTCCGAATCATCGATCATCATTGGCTGGTCTGTGTCTTCGTCGAGGTGTATGTCAGGTTGTTCAACTCTGATTATGGACTTGTTGAGTAGTCGGTAAGCCTCTTTGACGTGTTTGGGTTGGACTTCGTCCGAAATCTCCATCTTGGCCATTGCTTCGGCCAATCGGATCATACTTTCGAGTTGGCGTACTGTAATCCGCCATGTTGATTTACCACTAGTTGTAGTATCCCTCAACCTCAAATGGTTGTAATGTCTAACAAGTAACTCAGCAGCTTCGGGATTTATGATTGGTTTAAATCTCCGAACAAAAGAAATATACTGCAACACTTCCTCCTTCGAGTAAATCCGATCAAGCGACTCCTCCACATTGCTATGCAAATCTACAATTTTCCTCGCAATTGCATAATCAATCACCTCGTTGCACTCATCAACTAGGATAAAAAATAGATCAAATCGTGACATAATAGGGGCACTTAATGCGATGTTCTGTTGGAGGGATTTGGCCCGATCGTAGCGCCCTCCAATAGGATTAGCTGCAGCTAGGATTGAAGTCCGGGCGTTCAGAGTCGCCCTTACTCCCGCTTTGGCAATTGAAATTGTTTGCTGTTCCATTGCTTCGTGGATGGCGATTTGGTCACGTGGGTCCATTTTGTCAAATTCGTCAATACAGCAAACTCCATTATCGGCAAGCATCAGAGCACCGGCTTCAATCACGAAATCGGATGATTCTTCGTCGCGGACCACAGCAGCGGTGAGACCTGCGGCCGAGGAGGCTTTGCCCGAAGTGTAGACAGAACGGGGCGAAAATTCCGAAACTTGTTTCAGGAATTGGGATTTGGCGGTGCTGGGGTCGCCCACAATACAGCAGTTGATGTCGCCTCGAAGGGTTGTCCCTTTTATGCAAAAAATGCAATTAAACCCACTTTGCACCTTATCTTTCTTCCACTGCATTTACTATTTAGGGTTAAGTTTACATGTCTCAGAAGCAATATCAATGTCACATCGTTTTTTAAAAGTTTATCTAGAAACGATTTGCATGTCAAAAAGGCAGGAAAAGCAATTTCTTAGCATAAGTCAACCCGAAATTTTTAAACCATTTTTTTTTTTTGAGAAAAAGAAAAGAAAAAATTTGGTATTTTCATGGTTAACATCCATAAGTTGCGACAGTTATGGGTTTGATTAAAGTTAGCAGTGGCAAGGATAAAAATACAAGAACTATAAAAATTTTATTTTTCAAAAAATTCGTTTTTGCATATAAAAGGTTATATTGAAATTTTGCCACATTTACAAAGATGTCAATGGTTTTATATTTACACATCTTTTTCTGAAATTCAATAGGAGATTTGCATCATTTCACCGTTGCCACACTGATCAAATTTCTACATTTATTATTCAACATCTCAGAAACGATTGATCGTAGAGTATTTTAACCGATTGCAATGTGTTCAGTGCGTTATTTTACGTCTAGAAAACCATATTTCAAGCGTTTTTAACACTTAAAATTGATCGATCATTTACGATTTACGATCAAAATCTCAAAAAATTAGAATTTTTTAAAACTTGACTCAACAACTTTTAAGGCACTTTTTTGCGACTCTAAGACCTCTAGAAATGTAAAAAACGTTAATTGGTTCAATTTTTTTGATTTTTTAGCGAGATTGGTCTATTGCCATAACTTCGAAATTATCGATGCTAACCCCTTTTGTTTAATACCGTTACAAAACACTTTTAATTTTCTGTCATACGAAAAAAAAGTCATTGTCATGTGGCAAATAGTCTCACCTTGTAAAAATTCAAAAATTCCTCATTTTTCAAACTCGATCCAAAAACGTTTTATGCACATTTTTGAGTCTTTAGGACCTCTAAAAATGTAAAAAACTTTAAATGGATCACTTTTTAAGTTGAAAATTTCTTTGATTTTTGTCGAGATTTAGGTCGATTTTTATACCCGGAGCAATCTATTGCTAATAACTCCGGAATTATTGACGTTAGCCTCTTGTATAGGATCGTTGAAAAGACAACTTAATTTCCTATCGTATACTCAAACATGAGTGTTTACGGTAAATAGTTATGGAGAAAATTGATGATTAAGTCAAATATCGAAAAAATAAATCCGACTATAACTATTAATTTTGCGGTTTTCTCGACGCCAATAGATTCTCCGGAACATTTTACATACAGGCTGTCCGGAAAGTGGCACACCTCTTTGAAAAAGAGTAATTGGGTAGTCCCCCAGAGTACTGAAAAAATGTTTAAAAAATTCTATCTGTCAAAAAATTTTGACATTTATTTTTTGACATTTAACATTTTTTATGTCTATTTAATGATACTGATGATCTTGTATATGTTTTTTTATATTTATTTAGTAAAGGTACAAAAATTTTGCTAATAAAAGCCACATATAACACTAAACAGAGTTATAATTTAGAAATAGCTTTTTTGTTTCGTCTTCTAATAGCCTGTACAACTTGATTGGGCAAAATCTTCTAGCCATATTCTTATCTTTTTTACTCAATATCTCAAAAACTATGCATCGTAGAGTATTTTAACTTATTGCATCGTGTTCAGCGCGTGATTTTACGTCTAGAAAACCATATTTCAAACGTTTTTCTACTTAAGGTAAATTGACTATTTTTACGATTTTTCGATTTTACTACTAAATTCGTAATTTTTTAAACTTGACCCAGTAACGTTTAATGCAGTTTTTCGAGTCTATACGACCTCTAAAAATGTAAAAAACGTTATATGGATCAATTTTAAACTTGAAAATTTCTTTGATTTTTGTCAATAACTCCGGACTTATTAGTAATAACCTTTTATGTTTGTTACCTTTGGAAAAAAATTTTTCTAACATATTCAAGAAAGATCAGTGTTCTACGATGAATATTTATTGAGAAAATTACTGATGAAGTCAATAATATCGAAAATATAAATTCTACTATAACTTCTAAACTATTACGAATTTTGAGGTTTTCTCAAGGCCAATCGATTCCCCGGAACATTTTACATATGTCCACGCCAAATATTATATCTTTGAGGTGCAGTTTTGCGACAATTTAAAATAAAAAAAAGTAAAAACTTGTCAACCCTCAAACGAAAGCTGAACCTACCTTCGACTGTCGTTTTCGACACTCCCCCAAATAGCATCAAAAGTATCCCCCTTTTGACCTCCTCATTCCCATGAATACTCGGAAACAAACTATTGATGAGATTCTGATACAGATTCCTGTCGTGGCTCATCTCATACATATGATTCCACTCGCCCTCAGTCATCTGCTGACGCATAATTTCGGGGGTAATCTCATTGAGGGGCATCTCAATGCCCCCAAATTTGGGGTTAGTGGGTTGCACACTGCAGGCGAGGAACGCCATCCTGTAGTGGAGATCACGCACTCCTAGCGCTTTAAGACCTCTAACCCCTTCGGCTTCATCACCGCCTTTGTGACGCGAGCTGATCTGGGTCTTCGCCCCAGGGAGGGACATGGCCCCCACGTCAGGAACCACGATAAGAGTCCCAGTGAAGTCATAACGGTCGCCGGCCTTTTTTAATCATTTATTTAGTGTTTTTTAACACGAAAAAGGGGAAATTGTTACCTGGACTGTCTCCACATTTTCGGCCCTCAAAATCACCTCCACACACCTTGGAATGCAGCCCCTCGGCAACTCGGCTTGAGTCTCCTGTATCCTGACTTTCTGGAAGTCGACAAATAGGGACTTGTCCACATCTAACATAAAACGTCTCCTGTTGTTGCAGACTGGATTACGACAAATCGTTGGATTAGTAAACTATAAAATAAAAATATATAAACAGCCCCCTCAAACCCCAATAATACCTTAAATTGTTGCTCAACGTCTTTAATAACAGTCTGACAATCCAAACAAACAAAAGTCCCCGAAATCAGCTCAGGATGTACAGGATGAGTTCTAATAACTTGTCCTGAGATTCTGATCAAAGTCCCAACTTTCTCAGTTTTCAATTCCCGGACTTTGTGTCTAGTAGGGACATCAACAAAACTAATGTAACACTCTTTATCTTTCTTCAAATCACTGCGGTCTTTGACAAAATTAGAGACGGCTTGACACAGATAAGGGTAAATCCTGTAATACTCCTCAATAACGGTTGTTGCAAGGTTTTGATTATATTTTTCCAAATCTTCAAAACTGACTTCAATAATGCTGCGTTCTTGGTTGAGGAGCTCCTTAGCCGGCTCCAAATACTTGATTTCATCATCCTCTTTAAATCTGGGGGCGAATAGAATGTGAAAACGCGAATTTGTGGCAAGTTTAGAAGGTACTTACTCTTCTAAAAAATCCTGGAATAGTTTCTGGCACCTGACGCCGATTTCGTCTTGGTGTTGTCTCTGACCGACTTGGACGTTGGCTACATCCATTTTTAACGACTTAACACGAAAAAATCAAGAATAACAAAAATGGACCACGGCAAAAATGCGCGGGAAAGTGATTTCAAACATAACCTAACTTTTCTATTTGCTGGTGACACTTGTTAGTGTTACAGAAAACTGTATTTTGCTATCATTACCTAAAGTTTTTCAAGTTACTTAAATAAATTCACGTATAAATTTAAAGTAAATCAAAAATTTAATAATGCACTAAGTAAAATATATTTTTAAGTCTAATGTCTTTTACTGCAGTTCTGCTACAGGAAACTGTAATTGCACATAGGCGTTCTTATATTTTTCCTTCAAGGGACTTTGAAATTATAACGCTTCGGTAAATCTCTATTTAATGCATTATATCGCTTATACCTCTATCTGTTTATTAATAGAAAAAAACTACAAACATTAGTAAAATGGTAATTATACTTTCCACATTAAAAATTTTATTCCAAATTTATTGAAACAAGTAAAGTTGTTTCATTATTTGTTAATTACTAATTTTTAATTTTAATAAAAAATATGTTATATTTTTACTTATATCTATCTATTTTTATTAAAAACAATAATTAAAGTACATATTATGTAAAATAAAAAAATTAAATAAAATATCAAAATAATATTTATTTCTTATTTAATTTTTTGCTTATTACAGAGATGCATAATTATATCTTTAGTAGTAATTGTTAAAATTCCAATTAGCATGCATACACACGAAACGTGAGAATTTTCCACCTGTTTTTTTTTCGTCATCGTAATATCTAAAAAAAAATATTTACCCTTTATCACTTACATTTCAACAAGAAATTACTACCTAAGATTTGAATTTTTAGGAAAATTACGTTTTTCATTTTGAGAAGTAATTTTGAATGTCTAGGGGGGTTGGTTACCTCTTGTTGTTGACGGTTGACGTTTTCTGTCAACTTGCTGTCAATTGAGTAATCTACTCAAGCTGACACGTGACTGAACCTAAATTATTGACACTAGTTACGATATCTTTTATTTGTCACCACAGATCAACCTAACCAAATTTATGGCAAGCTATTCACAAATATTTCTAAATCCTAGGTAATAATTTTTTGTTGATATAATAATATTGATACAAAAATTTTATTTTTTTTTCAAAAAGAAATTTTTCATATTTTTGCAAAATTTATTTATTTATTTAAATTGCAACTTATTATAAAAAGTTTTTTGACAAAGGATGTGTTTTTGCAATTATAATGATTTTTGACCAAAAAAAAATTTATTGTAGCAGGTTGCTATCAAAAAATACAAAATTTAAAAAAAAATATTTTTTTTAATAAAATTATACAGTTGCATTAAAACCTGTAAAATATTTACAAAGTCGGCAAAAAAGTGTAAAGGCGTCTTTCTCAACTCAAACTCAAATTAGTATTACAATTTTTTTATACAGTTTAAAAAATTGGTGGATGCGCCGGGCTAATTGTATTTTAAGAATAATAATGGCAAATAGAATAACAAAAATGTTGGAAATAAAAAACGTTTATACAGGGTAAATATAAAGTATTTTTTTTTTTATTTATTTGTTTCCCGAAAATAATAATTAATATACATTAAAGTACGAGTAATATAAAAAATGTGATCGTATTTTAGAACGAAATTTTGTTTTGTTTTTGAGTTATGCTAACTTATTTATCAAAATTGCAATTTTTGAAATAAAATAAAAAAAAAGAAATATAAAATAGATACTTGTAATCCTTACATTATAACCTTATGAGCAGAATTTCATAGACGGTTTCCATTAAAAAAATATTTTTTGTAGAACTCAAAAACAAAAGAAAATTTCGAAAAATTTTGTTCTTAATCAAACATCACATTTTTTAAGTGCTTTCTCATTCATCAATTTAATTATTACCTTCACCACATAAACTATCATTTTTACTCTTAATAACATAATAATACTATTAATTGAATTAGTACAACTGGGTATAAAATCTAAATCTAAATACGTAACACGAAAAAACTGCTACTACGAGTACTTTAATGTGCAAAAAAAGGTACTATATAAAAACAAATATTTTTTATACATGTATAAATACTGTTTCTTATTACGAGTATCATCCCCGATGTAACCTGAAATCATTAAAAACAGTCTAAAATATGGGATTGAAATGATAAATCTTTAACTCAATGTTTAGTGCAATTTGTGGCCTTATTTTAGAAAACTATAATTGTACTTAGGCGTCCTTTATGTTTTTTTAGGGGAGTAATAAAATTGGCACGTTTTGATAAATCTTTATTTAATAAACTTTACACTGAATTTACATTAAAAATGTTAACAAATCCTATTGTAAATAATTATTAAACATAGTCCTCGTGTTATTATTACTTATTGATACAACATTGCTCAAACAACATACAAATATATCTGAACCTTAAGTTTTGATTGTCTACTTACAAACAACGTTGATAATTTTATTATTATTACGTCAACAACTCACTAGACCCATAAATATGTGACATTGTGCGATATGGAGGGTTTAGGTATCACATTCATGAATCTAAATATAATATTAAGTTTTTTTTAGGTAATGTTTTTAGTACGTCATTGGTTAGGATGTGTGTGACGTCACACAGCGCAAATTTCAAATCGTTTGATTTAGTTTGATTGTCTTAATTGTTTTAGTTATAGGGTAGAACAAAATTAATGATATAGGTATTCCTCGAGAGTGATCTATTTTTGTCTAATTGATTACTTCAAACAGTTAGTCTTCGAATATACCCTGCCATGACTTACTAAATAAACCTAACATTCATCAAACGACTATTTTCACTTCGCACTTTATATAAAAATGTTTATTTTTTCATCTACCTAACACTAAATATACACTTAAGAAATCCGATTTTTCACCGTCGATGCAACTAAAAGTGATCTAATTGACAAGACTGAGCATCCAAATCGGCGATGAACTGCCCGACTTCTTATAACCATTGAGCTGATATTCATTTAACACAATTTCTAAACAAACTGACAAAGAGCGAAAGAGGACTTAGGCTTTTGACGGGTGTGTTGCGATAGTTCAGTCTTTGTTTTTTGATATTTCGGTTGGCATTGGGTCGAAAAGTCGAAGGGCGGGGTCGGCAGAAAGTTTCTTATTTCAGAGCGACAGGGACGGTTAAGTTTTGAAGTTGGTTTGGGTCGTCGAAGGAATTCATTAGTTCTTCATTTTCCTTGCGAACTGAAACAAACATTTTAAAATATAGCCGTAAATTTCGGGTAATACTGACCCAGTAATAAAAAGCATTGTCAACATGTTATTAAATTCGCTTTGTGTTATGGATACATAACGTAACAAACGACCAATAAATAATAAAATATTGTATAAGCAAGAATGTTTTATAAACAAGGTACTATTTCGGTTCAGATAAAATATAAAAATCGCGAATTATGTATTTGTGCCCAAACAAACTCGGCATACTTTTTTGTGTTACTAAGGCTAATTTGTTATATTTATTAAATTTTTATTTGACTAGAAACAAGACTCTTTTATATTTTTACACTGTTTTTTAGTTCAATATATTTTTTTTAATTTAATTACTTACAATACATATAAAAGTGAATAATATAATTATGTTAGAAATGCATTTGAATAGGTACATTTTATTTTTTAATTTTTTGAGAATTTTAAAAAAAACATTTTTAGTGGCCCAACATTTAGAATTTTTTTAAATGCACTTTCACAGCAATTTGAAACATACATAAGTTGTGAAAATAAATACTTGAGTTAAATTGCTGTTTAAGTGAATTCTAAATAATTTATTTGTTTTACTTTTACGACGACTGTGTTTTTTTAGAGTTAAAAATAAAAATTTATTTTATCAAGGATAAGTTACTTTCAAGAGCATGAAAACATTGCTAAAAAATAGATTTTTAAATTACATTATTGAAAATAAAAATTACTAAAGTCTGTTTTTTCTTTAAATGGAAATTACCAAGTCAAAATTTTGGTGAAAAAAATGGTAGCAGCTTGTCTCCATAGCGACAAATTTTGTTTGGTCTTTGTTTTTGTCCCTAGAAATTTTGTTAAAAAATTATGGTTATGTGTTCAAATTGAGATGTTGTCAAAATTTTGACTTTTATAAATCTTGTGTGCCTGTTTGCTCTTTGAAAGCGCTATAATTGAATACCTAAGGACAGACATCATTACCTAAGGTCTAAAGACAGAATTCAGTGCTAATAATTTTGACAGAAACACACCGCAAGTAAGTACAATATTGTGGACAAAAATGAAATTCTTGCTTCAAAAACTTTGAAGAAAAAGGATGTAAATACAGAAAAAAGTTGTGTAGCAAAAGATACAAGTGGGTATTATGATGATTGGCAATAAATTTTGAGTAATTTATTGAAATGAGCTCACAGTTGATGCATTTTCTAAATACTTCTTCAGCTTTAGTTTCAAGATTGTTACTTTTTCAACTCGTTCCTCAAAAACGATGCACAAGACACTAAGTTAATTGCGTTCTTTCCGAGGTTCTTTCTCATTCATGTTAATTTTGTATTCTTGTCAATTTTTTGATAAAAATTAAGAATGTTTAGCAAACCTGCATTACAAATTTCGTCTACATTTTAACGGGCCCTTTTTCTAACTTCCTGCTTGCGAACTATTCGTTTCCAAATTTCGAAAAACTGTTAGTGTACCGAATTTGTTCCTTTTTTGGTGTTTCATCTCTAAATTTTCTTAGACGATTTTTTGTGTTGACGTTTAATGACATTGTTTTCAAATTAATTCAAAAAACCGGAACTGCCAACTTTCTTTATTAAAATTACCATGAATGAATTTATTAGTGATGCTAACGTTAAGACTGTTTGGCATTTCCATTAAAAAAAAACAGACTTTACATACCTACAACTTGTCAACTATGATTGACAGTAGCTAAAAATAAGGTTAACAGTCCTAAAGCCTGCTTTACAATTTAATGTCACTCAAGTGACATTGACGACCAAAGTATTTTGTCTCCAACTGTACCAACAGTCAATCTACTTATTGTAAGTAATTGACCTTTACGGCAAATAGGTTGATACGAATATGTACCTATTTTTTTAATTTCACCTAGACGAAAAAATTTCATTTTAACATGAAGAACATGAGTAGATAAAATTCAGTTTTAACGTAGAGGATTTTACAAAAAATATTATTTATACACAAAAACAAAACAATTGTTACATAAAATATTATCGCTATTAATAAGACACAAAATTTAATTTAAAATTTTATTATCGATTTTGAAGAGATATTTATTATTCACACTAAAGTGAACTGAAGAGTTTTAATATTATTTATTGCTGTGGTACCTACTACAGCAAAAAAGCTCTGCAACTTTGTTACGGATAGTGGAAAACATTTTTTTAAACCAATATTGCATTTATTTTTTAAATGCCCAAATAATTTTAGAGATTTTAAACAAAACACTCTTTATAAACCTCCTAAACTAAAAAATATTATTGAAACCTCTCATAAACATTCCTTTCAAACCGTTTCGCCGCTAATTCTGTTTATGTATAAATCTCCGCCACCGTCCAAATTTAGTTCGCAAATTCAAACAAACCCGATCTACTCCAGATGCCTCCCCCAAACCCCCCAAAATACATACAATTCTTGCCCGTCTCCGGCTTGTGTGTCAACGTCACAATCACCACCAACACGCACGAAAACAGGATAAAAAGAAACGTCCCCACCACGACGTAAACCGTCAACTTCCGTTTCCGTTCACGAGCTTTTTGTTCGGGAGTCATCCACTTTTGCGAGCGGAAGGTACGCCGCCGCCGACTGGAGGCGGCACTGCTCCGGCGACTGCTCTTGCGGCGAGAGTGCTCATAACCGGTGATTTGGCAGCTGTTACGGTGAGGGCGGGGAAGAATGTTTTGCTGGAGGGTGTCGAGGGAGTGCGAGCGAAAGGGTTTAGGCCCGTCGATGAGGAGGTTGATCTCGGGGAAGTCGAGAGATGGGACGTGGTGGGTCGACATGGCGGGAGCGACTGGAAGTTGAAGTTGGGAAATGACGACTATTTTTAGATGGGGTCAGGTTGGGAGGGATTTGGTGAAAAATTAATAAAGAAAATGTGCGCAGTCTTAAATTTTGTTAATTATTTTTTTGGGAGTAATACAGCGATCAATAAATAATTCAATTTTGATCAGTATAAAATTAATTAATTTTTGCACATTTTAAAAATAATAAATGCTTAGTAAAGCACGCACAGTATTTTATTGTAATTTGTTCAGTAAAAAAATCCAATTTGCACAAGAAAAATAATAAACGCTCAATAACTTTAATCAAAATTAGTTAAACAACATAAAATTTAAAGAATTTTATTTATTACAGAAGGCGACAAAAAAAGTTACAACTTGACAAATTTTATATCATGTTGTTCGTCTTAGTAAGACAAATCAAATGCACTAAAAAAAAATTCAAAAAGTCCACACTTTGAACAAAATAATTTTTGTCTAATTTAAATGAATTTAAAATATTTTAACTTTAAAAAATCATTACTCAATAACTATTAGGCCGATTTCCTTTAAATAAAGACTAAAGGGATGGAATTGTCCTTTAGAATGATATGCAATTTAAAATTGCATATTGGCAAACTTTTCTTCGAACAGTGTTCGAAGAAGTTCGAAGTAAATCGAAGTAATCTAAGAAAAACCCTACGAGTATTTTTTTTTCTTCGTCACCATTGTGTAGAGCATCTTTTTATTAGTGAGAATCCAAATTTTTAAAATAATATATCTAGTAGTTTTCAAGATATGATTTTTTGAAGTTAAGGTTTGCTATTCAGGTATTGCGCCATATAGGAGAAATGCATGTTAATCTTATTTAAAATTGCATTTTTATAAAAGTATTTGTTTTAAGGCGCTTCTTTTGCTTAAAAATGGTCAATTGCACCTTCTTTGTCCTAATTAGAATAAACAAAAACTGTTTAAAACAAACAAAGAGTATCTGCGTACTAATTAAAGCAAGTAAAGAGTTTTTTTGTTCTAAAAATGATCACTGATCATTGAGCAAGAAGTTTGCCAATATTCAATTTCAAAGTACATATCATTCTAAACGGCAAGTCTATCCCTTTAGAATGGTCTTTATTTAAAGGAAATCGGCCTAATAGTTATTGAGTAATAATTTTTTAAAGTTAAAGTATTTTAAATTCATTTAAATTAGAAAAAAATTATTTTGTTTAAAGTGTGTGGACTTTTTAAAAAAAAAATTAGTGCATTTGATTTGTCTCACTAAGACATGATATAAAATTTGTCAAGTTGTCATGACATGACTTTTTTTGTCGCCTTGTGTTATTGGTATACTCGATTTCATATTAATGTGCATTGATCATTTTAAGGTGGCACATGCAAAAATTCAAACATTCCTATAACGTCAGTCTTCCCTAAAAGTATTTTTTTCAAATAAATGTGTACCGCAGGTAGCAAAAAATAATTAAAATTGACAAGGTAATTCATGGGGTAGGAAACAACAATTTTTGTCATTTTTGATGTGATTAAATTTGTTCTGACTGACATTAATGACACTTTTTGTGTGAATTCGTCTTTAAATATTTTTATATTACTGAATACTTATTATTATTGGAGGGTGGTATATGTATTAGCAAGGACCCCTGAGCAAGAATGATTTTAGCAAGGGCTGGAAACTGTGCACAAATGGTAATCAGTCTAATTAGCGCACTGCTGTGCTTCTGATACCACAATTTTGTCTTTAAACGCTTTTCGATATTCCGATTTTGCTCGGAAACATTTTGTTTGTAAATGTGTGAATATTAAGTTAATTAGTTTTGCTAGACATTCATTCATTTGTTGTCTTTACTGGGCATTTATTATTTTACTGAGCATTTATTGTTTTTACTGATCAAAAATACTTGTCGTTTAAATAATATACTGGGCATTTAATTAGTTCCCATTATTTTTCATGCTTCTTTTGCAACTAGGACACGAGCCGCCACTGATTTGTGGTGTACACAGAGTGTGTCAACTTTGATTTTTTTGAATAGTAGTAAACTAAAATTTGCTCTGTTTGGGTGATGGTAAAATCTGTTGTGTTTTGCAAAAAAAATTCAAACAAAACAGATTTAGCATTTTAATAGGATTTAGATGCGGTTGGGCTAGAACCAAAGAACAAATACAACCATTACGCTGTGGGTTTGTGTTTGTTGCAGTTTGGTTTGTTGGCTACGCAAAATACACCAGTCTAATGAATTATATTACATTACACAATGTTTTGAATAGAAAATTGGTTTCTCTCAGTGAGGAACAGAACAAAATTAGGCAAAATTATTTTGTAGTGATAATAAAACTAAAATAATATTTTAGAAATACCCAAATTAAACATTCGAATTTTGTATACAATTAGTTTTGATGTTGTCGTATAACTTCAGAAGATTCACAAATTTTAACTTTTTTTATTTTGTAAATAGCCGCAAAACTGTACCTCAAACGTTATAATGTTTTTCTACATACATACCCAGGGGTGCGTGCAAGCTCTATAACTTTTTTTTCTATCCAAGCTATCAACTTGTTGTCTTTTTAAATGGTAGGTCCGATAATAAAGCAGATTTCAATTTTTTTTATTCAATACAGGATGTCCCAAAATAAGATGAACAACTAAGTTCTGTTATTTTACTTGCCAATTTTTGTTACATTTTTAAATTCGCCACTAAATTGTCAATATTATTATAACGCACTTAGTTTCTTAAAATTATCTGCAATAGTTTTTGACTTCTGTCAACTTATGTGTCAAAATAGTGTCGTGCGTAGACCCACAGAAAAATTTATAACTTAAGAACCATTAAAGAAAACGTAACCAACTTTTTTCCAGTCGATTCCCTAAGCTTTAGCGCATACTCTGAGATAAAGGCAAATTTAGGGTTAATGTTCCATCACCTACTATGATTTTTTGAAAATGACAAATTACAAATGACAATAACTCAACTTTTTCAAATACAACACCTTATATCTCATTGCATCGTTGGGTAGCGTTTTTTATTATTAGATTTTTTTGAGATTTTTGCAAAACAAAAAAAAAAAGAATCTAGTAGACCGCTGTCGTTTAGAAGACTAGCAGCTTGTGTAGAAGATGATGGTGACTTATTTGAGAATTTTCTTTAAGTAGATTTTGCTCAAAATTTTTACATTGTTTCCTGTCAATCATCCTTTCCTGTTCTTGTAAACATTACTAAAATTGTTTCCTTTAATTTACTCCTGTTTCTAGTACAATTTCATTTGGTTGAAATAGCCCCTCTGGATCACCCAGCATGTAAAATGTTCCGAAAAATCGATTAGCGTCGAGAAAACCGTTATGGTTGAATTAAGATTTTGAATATTTTTGAATTTATCAGAAATTTTCTCAATAATTATTTAACATAGAACAATTATCTTTTTTGTATATGATAAAAAATGAAATTTGCTTTCCAACGGTGCCAAACAAAAAAGACTAGCGTCAATAATTCCAAAGTTATTAGCAATAAACCCCTCCGGGTACGAAAATCACCCAACATATTGACAAAAATCGGAAAAATTAAAAACTTCAAAATTGAACCATTTGCACTCTTAGGAGTATAAGAGACTTAGAAAAATATAAAAAATGCAAAAAATAAATTTTTGAAATTTTTCTGTATGTCTGTATGAATACAGTGTTCCGTTTATTCTTACAAATTTAAAGAAATGATAGAATATTCAATTTTAAAACAAAAATTTCCTATAAACATGTTTCGAAAGGGAGCTACACCACCTAAAAAGGATGCATTTTTTAGAAGGTTTTTCCAAGTAGTTTAGAATAGATAAAATTACAAAATTTGGTACAGCTGATAACGTTTATACACCTAAACGAATTCCATGTTGAAATGTCGAAATTTTTAATCAGGGGCTTCCTAAACTGGGTGGGTTTAAAAAAAAAGTACGCGTAGCATTTGTCGATACATGTTCTTCTGTTTAAATTTGTAACAATAAAAACGAAACACCCTTTATATTGAGTTAAAACATAGACACAGTCGGCGGTGGTGTAGCGGCATAAAGTCTCACTTTCACTAATCCAAATTCAAATAAGTAATTCAAATTAGCAATAAAAAATAATGGGCTCATAAGAGCGCAAACTTTAAAACATGTGTACATGTTCTAATAAGTATAATAAGAGCAAATAAGAACGCAAAACATAATAAGAAAGAGAAAGAGCATAAGTACAAATAAGAGAACAAAGCATAAGTAAGGAAGGGAAAGCGCAACATTAACTCAAATTAGTACAAAAAGATGGCGGACAGTAAAGAGCGTCAACTTTAAAACATGATAATGAATAAGTAAACAAAAGGTAAGTAAAAAGAAATATAAAAAAAAGGTAAGTTTTGCAATACAAATAAAGAAACATTTTTTTTATTAATTATTATTACCTACTAATAATTCAAATAAATATAAAAGATAAGAGCACCAAAGCTTTATCAAGAGTTGAATGTTTTAGTTCGAAGGTGCTTTCCTAAAATTCTAAATACCTTTTTTGCAACAATTGTTCAAAGTGATATTTTAAAAATTTATTTTAATTTCTCGAGAAGACTAAAGTGAGTTATAATCATTTTTTTTACATAGGTACATATTTTTAAGAAACTTTTTATCGTGCAATCTAAAATCTAAATGTTTACCCATATCGTCTATAAGCGGCGCCATCCTGAGCGTGATCCCCACCAGTAGCAGGCACATAAACAGCAACAAAAAGGCAGTTAACACAATCGTCATCCTCGCCCTTTGAGACAACTCATCATCATCCAAATCCTTAAAATCATTCACTTGCACCGCCACTGCCGTCATCTTCATCTGCTTGCGATGGTGTTTTCTTCGTCTTCGTTTCTTCCTCTGCGCTCTCTTCACCGTTCTTATCGCCGCCAATTCTTCAGGATCCAAATTCTCGTAATCGTCAATATTGAGCGAAATAAAATCATCATCGACATGAATCTGGCTACAACTACTCATGAGTAGTAACAAAACAAAAATTTGCATCTGTGGTTACATTTCATTCGGATTGTTACGGCAGTAACAACGCGCTCCTGGAGGCTGATCCCGGTGCAAAAATCCGAAGTTTTCGCTGCCGTCCTCATCGCTGAATTGGAGAGTTCTCTCGTGGGAGCGCCCCGGTCTGGGGCGCGGCGAGCTAGGGGAGCTTTTCCGGTGCCCTAAAGTTACACAGTCGTCTGTGTTACTTTACATCTGATGGGTTTACCTGATTTTTTGTGGCGTTTTTGCGAATGAATCGATGTGATGTCGTCTTTGTCTTTGGAAGACACTGTCGAGGTTGAGTTGCCTCGCAGTTTGTTGAAGAGACTCTTCGGACTGGAAGTGATGCTTGAGGATTTGCGTTTGGCGTTTTTCAGTGTCTCGACTTTGTTCTCGATCAAAGTTTTGATGACGGCTTCGAGTCTCGCCGCCTCCAAACTGGCGTTTCGGGGAGGATCGACGCACAAGTCTTCGGTGGATACGGCCTTATCCGTCATTGTAGTCTGTCACGATGAGGACATTTTCGCTCGATATTATTATAGGCTGGAAATAGAGAGATGAAATTGCTTGAGGACACCTAATTTGCAAATAAATCTCACCCAATTTTAAAATTCTCAACAATGAGGAAGCATTTTAAAGATACTGAGACAAAAATTGTTAAACAAAATTCGCATTCTTTTCAAAAATGGTTATGTATTTTAGTCAATTTCGAGGTAGGTTGTTCTTAAAGGGTATTTCATGTCAGAAAATTGTTGTTTTAAGTTTTAATAACGATAATTCAGCTAATTCCAAGCAATTTAGCTTTTTTGAGCCAGGAACTCATTTATCTTATCTAAACTGAAGAGATTTTTCAGACAAATCCGAAAAATTTACCTTGTTCTTGAGCCAAAAACTCGTTTAATTTAAGAAATTTTATCGAAACAAGTCATGAGAAAATTGTAGTTCAGATGTGAATTATTTCTCTTTAGTCAATTTTGAGCGATTTTGCTCATTTTTGAACTAGAGACTCACTTATTTTAATAAGAAATTTAACAAGAAAAAGTAGTTAGTGACTTTTAATTTGTTTTTTATGTAAATTGATTTTTATTTAAAAGTTTGGATTTCAAAAATAAATGCAATAATTATGAAATCAAGAATGACTTAATGACTATAAAATTTATAAATTAATAGACGAAAATTAAAAAAAAAATTCTAGAGAATTTTGCGACGGTTGGCGACATTTATGTGTGGAATAATTTTAGGAGGCTGTGAAAAATAAAAATAATTTTTATTTTCACATTTGAAAATGAATAGTGAAGAAAGTCCGTCACTAAAATTAAATTAACGCCACCGACTTATTAAAGCACTCAAATGACGTCATTTGGGTGCTGGAATAGACTTATTCGAAAAGCAAAATAGAAAAAGTTTATTATAAAAAACACATTTATATTTATACAGGGTGCGCTTGAACTCGCACCCCAGAGAAAAATGTCATGTAAGGTACGATACTAGAAACATGGAAAAAATGTTAAAAAAATTCTATTTAATTAATTATAAAAATTTCGAAGTTATGAGAGTTTCAGTTTTGCCCTTTGATTCTCTTTATTTCTGTTGGAAAAATAATTTTTCAAGTTTTTTTGCTACAGGCTATTGGAAGAGGAAACAAGCTCATATACAAGATCATCAGTATTATTTAACAAAAAAAGTTTTACAGATTTGTCAACAAGAAATTACCACCTAGGATTTAAACTTTTAGGAAAATTACGATTTTTATGTTGTTTGTAACTAGAATTTTCAGAAGTAATTTTGAATGCTTTGAATTTTGAATGCTAAGGTTGGTTACCCCTTGTTGTTGACGGTTAACATTTTCTGTCAACCTGCTGTCAACTATCAATTGAGTTATTTATACAAGCTGACAGGAACCTAAATTTTGACACAGGTTACAATATCTTTTGCTTGTCACCAAAAAACAACCTGACCAAATTTATGGCAACCTTTTCACAAATATCCCTAAATCCTAGGCAGTAATTTCTTGTTGATACGACAATAGTATAGTAATCTCAAAAGGTTAAACAATTAATTAAAATAAAAAAATATTTTGGCATCGCTCCTATATAAAACCTTTAAACATTTATTAAAAAACTGGTAGTTTACTCAAAAATTTTTATTTTATTTTTGTAAGTCAACATTTTTTAACAAAAAGATTTTTTTTTGAATAGCATTTTTATAGCCATTGCACATCTATAAATTTATTTGCCAAAAAAATTGATAGTTTTGAGAACCATGTTAATGAGAATTGTTGATTTTTGTTTAATAAATAAAAGATGGACATAATTTCTATCTATATATTTATTGATTTAACATCTTGTGTCTAAATTACCTCTAATTAATGTCAAAAGACGTCATTTCTACTTCACATTTAATAAAAATGCTAAACACGAAGAAATACTTTGATAAAGCTGAAACAATTAATCAGACAAATTTACTTTATTTGTTTCTCAATTTACCGAAATTAGGAGGCGAAAATTTACATTTACGATACCAGAACTAGACAAGGTAAGATTTTCCTGTGTCTTGAGTAGAAACACGTTTAAGAGTTTGCGATTTTTTGTACTCCATAAATACCATGTGACACAATAAGCCGAAAAGAAAAATTTTTCAGACTAGAACGAAAAAATTAATTATTACGTATATATCTTTTTTTCCATTTACCGCATTTTCTAACATTTGTCCAAAGTAACAAAACGAAATTGTAAAAACTCCTGCTAAAAGAATAACAAAAGCAATTATTAACATATTTTTCAAGTTATTTTTCTGAAAAAAAGAATATAGAAATTTGTGATTTGACTAGATTCAAACAAACCGGAAATAGAAGTATAGTAACTCCGGAAACTATTCCACTGAGAGTGAAGAAAAATATGGGGTAGTACATGACGTCATTAAGGCGTTGAGCATACCTACGATTGATTTTAAGTTTTTTTTTTGATGAAAAGTTGTATACTTGATCAAAACTTGGTGTTGCTGTATGCAAAGCTTCATCTCTTTGTTTATAAAAACTTGATAATTTTTATTACCCATGTTCTGAAATAACTGTTCATCATCCAAAGCTTGCAACCGCTTATTTAACATGAGACACTGGTTATACAAATGTACAACCATATAAACAAAACCCAAAACACAAGCAATTAGAGTTAAAGCGATGTGATAATGTGACAAAGATAAAATAAATGAAAACAAAGCCATCCACTTATCGACATAATCTTTGTAAACTCTTATCGTAATAATATATTCGTATTGATTTATAAACCAGGGTAAACCCACTGTTGCGGTAAGAAAGCTTACAACCATTAAAATATTTTTCCCCCATTTTAAAACATTTGCAACTTTTTGGAACTTGGTGAAATGATTATGTCCCACAATGTCCAAAGGCCATAAATGAGGAAAAATGTCTCTATACAAATTTACATATTTGTCTACATTTATGTACATTGTGAAATAGCTAGTCCACACCTGTAATTATTTGATTAGTAAAATTACTTAAAATTCAACTTATTATTTAATCACAATCGCACAATTGCATGTATAAGCCGCATATTGGCCGTGTAACAATTTCCATTCTTTTTTTGCAATTACTAGAGAAAACACAAAAACAGGTTGTAACAAGACGAAACCCAAGAAAAAATAATTTATAACAACCAAGAACTTGTTGCTGATGATTGTGTTTGGAACTAGCATCAAATTAAACAAAACATCGTCTAAAATATTTGGTTAGTAAATAATTATTTTAGGAAATTTCTGTACTTTGCAAAGATGGTTTGAGTTTGTTTTTGCGAATTGTCCAATTAAATTGCATTTTTAGTGAAAAAATTCGGATTCTTGAACGTTTGAAGTTTCTTGAACGACTGAAGTTTATTTGAAAAAGTCTAAGAATCGAAGAAATGAGGTATTTTCTGATGAACGCTCCTAATTAATATGTATATTTCATATCATTCTCTTCATCAGTACCTAAATATTTTATTTAACATTATAATGACAATTACTACAAATGGTTGTGGTACGAAAATATTATACTTCAGTTGATTAATTACTAATTAGTTCTAAAGAATAGATATAAAATAAAAAAACTAAAACGTAAAAAAGAAAAAAAATCGATAAACGCTTTACTGAAAATGTGTTTCGAACTATAAAGCCTACCACTATCTCACAGGCATGGCTCTAGAGTGGTAATAATTTTTTCTCATACTGATCATATAACATTTTGTATCTTTATTACCGAAGCTTTAATAAACTTTTTATCAAGGTGGCCTATAAATATAAAATTGGCATTTTTAGATAATATACAGGGTGTATCAGAACTCGCGTACCAGAGAAAAATTCCAAGTAAGATAAGACACTATAGGAACATGGAAAAAATATTAAAAAAATTTTATTTGTCAAAAAATTTTGACACTTATTTTTTGACATTTGACATTTTTTATGTCTATTTATTGTTGTTGATGATCTTGTATATGTTTTTTCATAATTTTTTAGTAAAGGTACACATTTTTTGTTAATAAAAGCCACAAATAACGTTAAACATAGTTGCTACAGCTTACTTATTTCTAATAGGCTGTAGCAAAAAAACTTGGAAAATTATTTTTCCAACAGAAATAACTAATGTCAAAGGGCAAAATTTAAACTGTCATAACTTTGAAATTTTTATAGATAGAATATTATCTTTGATTTTACGCCAAAACTGCAAAGGAAAAACATTTTTTTTGCTAAATAACAAAAATGTTTGTGAAAAACCTAATTTTATAAATAGCAACTCAAAGAAACAGCTTTAAGTTAAAAACCAAAGTAATTTTTAACAAGAAATATAATTATTTAATTAATAAATTAATTGTCAAAGTGACATATAGTTGGCAAATAAATAAAACCGCCAATGTGATAGGACTTAAAAAGCAGAGAAAAATTATTCTAAGTCGAAAATCAAGAGAAAAATTAACTTTTCTTTTTACTAAATCAGAATAATGAAGTTGTAAGTACAGATTTGTTCGTTTTAGATGAAGCAAAAAATGTTTTTCTTTTGCAGTGTTGGCGTAAAATCAAATATACAATTTTTTTTTCTGTTGTAAACTCAAACAAGGGACATACTGTATATTAAATGTGCCTTGATTAGGTACTTATTATGTTTAATTTTTTTCCAAATAAATTCGACAATAACACAAAAATACAAAAATAAATTTTTTTAATTATGCATATAATTCGAAACTACATATTTATTTCTTGTTCTAAAAATAAGCCATCGTAAATTTTTAAAATTAATCTCCCACCTTGTGGCAATAAATTAGAATGACACATTTATTGAACCTTTTACGACTAAACTTCCTCAAATAAATATTTATCCCGATTTGCATCCGTTATAAAATAATTTTATGTCTTGTCTATAAAAGAATAAATCAAAAAATTAAATTTCTGTATTTTTAGTTGAGACAACAAACCAAAAATAACAATTAATAAACATGACCAAACCAAAATCCGGTAAAAATCTAGTTTCTAAACTTACATAATTTGCAAAACTGCCTTTATCACTGTTTCTAGCAGCACCATGTTAACGACCGCATTATGCGAAAAATGATTTGCTTGTTTTACCAGATTTGTTTGTAAAAATCGTGCAGTAATTTTCTAGTACGGAGGTAAACACTGTTTTAGTGGTGGTAGGTGTGAAATGAATTTGGAACTGGGATGCTGCGCTAGTTTGGAGAGCTGCCGTTTCGATCCGGGGTGGCGCTAAATTCACTCAAACCCGGAGTCTTGCACCGACAAATTAATTTCACACGATTTCTAATCCAAATAAAGCAAAATTGCATTTTTTAAGCATTCAAAAAAATTTTGTTTGACAGATTGTTTACTGTGGTAGCTTTTGAAACATGTTAAAATTTAACAATAAGTGCCCTAAATCACGTTTTATCTAACTTTGAAAGTGAGTTATGAATGAAATTTGCTTTATCACGCCACGTTTTAGGTATTGTGTTGACTGTTTTCAACAAAAGTTGAGGAAATTTGCGTCGATCGATGAGAAATTGATCTGCCAAGAAATAAAGAATGGCTATTTTGGGATTGTTTACGCAGTTATTTCTGTTCTTCGAAGTCATTAATGACTTTTATTCAGTCTAAAATAACAGTCAGTCAATTGCAGATTTTTCTAATGAAATGTTTGTTTTTCTGTTTGACCAATGTTTGACAATAGGAGTAAAAATACCATTAGCATTTTCATAAATTAATGAATAAAACTGATATTTTATTAAAATTATTAATAATTATTCATTGCTTTCTTATAACATAATTTGTGCAAAAATTTTTCACAACATAAACTTGCAAGTTTTTATTTAACGTCTCTGCTCTCTTCTTTTTCATAGTATCACGTAATTGTGTAAATTTTATTATTTTTTGGAGCTTGGTGAATTCCCTGTGTTAATATTGCAATCTAAAAACAGTTGTAACTTACGAGAGTTTTTCTAATAAAATTATTATTTGTGTTATAACATTTTTGTATTCAGAATTTTTTGGAATCAGAATTGTAAGCTAGGCAACCAATAATACATTTGAATTTGGTTTATAGGTGACCACTGGTTATTTTAGCATTTGTCAATCTTAATTAGAACTAATTTACGATACAATTAATAAATTTGTAATTTTCTTAATAATTTCAAACAAAAGTTATTAAAAATTTTAAGTCCACAGTAGCTCCTCTGGTAGCCATAGGTCGTACTAGTACCTGTCAAAAATTTTTTTTTGCCACGTTAGGTTATGTCAGCTCTTGATATGTTTAGTGCAATTAAACCAAACATTTGATAAAAAAGTGACGTGTGTGGTGCTTGAATTACCGGCAAAATAATGAATAGTTACAATTATTTATTTATTTTAGTGTTATTATCATACACCAGTTATGCAACCGAATTAACGTTCGAATTGCCCGACAGTGCCAAAGAGTGTTTTCACCAAGAAATCCATAAGAACACGTCTGTCACTCTTGAATTTCAGGTAATTTCACGTAATTTAAACCACACAAATTGTAATAATCTTTCAGGTTGTGACAGGGGGCCAGTATGACGTCGATGTCAGTTTGCAAGACCCTCGGGGGCAAGTCATCTACAAGCAGATCAAAATGCAGTTTGATTCACACACATTCACGGCCGAGCATACCGGCATATACGTCGTTTGCTTCAGTAATGAGTTTTCAACGTTTTCCCATAAGTTGGTCTACATGGACTTCCAAGTGGGGGAAGAGAAGCCCCTGCCCGGGCTTGGCGAGCACGTCACTGTCATGACTCAGGTGAAAATTGCAAAATTGCGGAGTTTGTGACTAATTTGTGTCTCTAGATGGAGTCCTCAGCCCAGGATATCCACAAGGCTTTAACCACGATTCTAGATTTTCAGACTCACCACAGATTGAGGGAGGCCCAAGGCAGGAAAAGGGCCGAGGATCTGAACGAGAGAGTCCTGTGGTGGTCGATTATGGAAACTGTTGCTGTTATTACTATAGCAGTGGGGCAAGTTTTCGTTTTGAAAAACTTTTTCACCGAGAGAAAGCCCTTCAATATTAAGTGAATCTTTATTTCTAAATCAGTTTGAGTGTGTTGTGAGTCAGTTATGTATATAAAAAATAAAGTCAGGGGTTAGTTCTCGTTTTATTTTAATTTTTGATGAAATATTTTTACATTGTGTTCAAAGTTTGTTATCAGTTGTAAAAGCAAATCCAATAAATTAAGCCGTATTTGATATTCAACGGTTTTGTTGTTTCAAAAATAAATCAAAAAATATTTGGGCAACTGTATTTTTCGCTTCTGTGCACCCACAGTCGCCTTGTTCCTTGTATTGATTTCAATTCTGCAATCACATAGGTGGCGCTGTTACACTTTGAGGTTATCTATTATCTAAATTATTTGTTGTTATTCAACAAAACAATGTGTTAAATAACACCCAACGTTGTTATTTTACGTTAAAATCGAATTTTAATATTTTGTGACCATGGCCAACGATCATGAAAAACCTGGGGGCCCAGTTAAGAGGAGTGCTTCGAAGCCTGAAACAGGTAAAAAACTTGCAAAAAGTCAGTTTCTTGGCGTAAATCGACTGATAACTTAATTTTTGGTGCAAAAATAGAAAAAAAATGTGGGTGAACATTGATCAATCACCGATCAGTATTTGTTAAATATTTTCAAGGTCTTGCGACATAATTGATTAACAATAAAAATGTAAATTTAAATAATTCAGGAAGTAGTAAAAAGCGTTTTTTTTCATTGTTTCGGATTGAATTGAAATCGGTGGGAAAATTTGTTGGCCTAATGGGCTAGGATAAATACCGCGACTCGGTCGGTAACTCGCTTTTCAAAAAATGGCGCGAATGACACTGGTCTTTATATTTTTAGGCGAGATGGCCTCCCCCGAGCCTAAAAGAGTTAAATTGGACCTTTCGTCAATGAAGGACCAAAACCCGGTTTATATCTTAAACCAGTTAAGAATGGGTTTGAAGTATAATTTTATCGAACAGTGGGGTCCTATGCACGCCCCCTCGTTTAAAGTCGCTGTTGAAGTTGACGGTCAGACCTACCACGGAGTTGGGGGTTCGAAAAAACTCGCCAAATGTAAAGCGGCCGAAGAGGCTCTAAAATCATTCATCCAGTTTCCTAATAACACGAATATGGCTTATGCTTCTGGTGGAAACGGCATTAATGTCGACTTTACGAGTGATGCTTTCGAAGCTGAAGAAAAAGAAGTCCCAGCGAAAAAAGTTGCTAAAGGGCCGGTTATGCTGTTGAATGAACTTTATTCTAATGTGATTTATACTTGTGTGGAGAATGATGGGTGTGCTTATGCCAGGTTTAAGATTACAGCGACTATTGGAGAAGAAAAATTTATTGGGACTGGTAATAAAATTGAGAAATGTGGTTTTGTGTTAATGAGGTTGTAGGTTCGAGTAAAAAACAAGCGAAAAATGCAGCTGCTACAGCTGCTTTAGCGAAACTTAATTTAAACACAAGTTTAAATGGGAATAAAAAATCGAGCGTGCTTGTTGAAGAACAGGAAAAGGCCGATTATATTGGAAGGTAATTTTTATTTAATTTTTCATTTAATACTAACCTGAACAGTAGAACTGATTAAACTAACAGTGGGGGTTTGTAATACTACTTGTATTTGTTTGGATAAGTTTTTCAAAAAAAAATAATGAGAAACTTTATTTTCCAGCTTCAGTATATTTCTTAGAGCCCCCTTAGTTTGAGACGTAATGTAGTTTATAGTTTTTCCGCAAGATAGGGTACCACAATTATAGACATTGTTCCTTTGTTTCTTTTTTATTATCATTTTTGATATAAATTGTTGTATCCTCTTGCGATGCCTCACTCAAGGGTGCCGATATTTCTGTTAGTATCGGCTGTAAGTGTGCTCAGAAATGTACCAAACTGGTGCTCTGGGACCAAGGTGAGCTGCTTTTTTGGTAAGAGTTTTATTCCTTATTTCCCTTATAACAGAACTTTTTTGATGTATAATACTGTACTTTAGTGATAAAACATGATACTGAGCAATGATCAATTATGTAAGAAAAACATTGACACGAATAAAACAGAATGAGCCGATAGTATTTTTGACTGAAAAGATAAAGCCTTATTTAGGAGATAGCGCTGTTCAATTGTACACATAATCGTTAACATTTTTATCGATACAGTTGTTGGCGGGAAATTATAAACGTTTATTATTTTTTTCTAAAAACTAAAAGTTAAGCTTGAATAAAATCGTTTAAATTAATCAAAGGAATATAACGAATTTAGAATTTAAATGTTTGAAAAAAGGATCTCTGTATATGCCAATATTATTTAATAGTTTTTCGGACAGTATTGAATAATTTTTTGTTGTTATACAACACTTTACTTAGTTATTTTTTTTTAGAAATTTTTCTAGTTACCTTACGATTATATCCTTCTATTTTAATTTTTTTTTGGTTGTTTAATAAGTTTCTTTATTTCTAATTCTTCTTTTTGTTATTAAATGGTCAGAATAAGTATCATTGACTATTGATACTAATTAATATTAATTATAATGACTATGACTATACAGGGTGCGCCAGAACTCGCGCCCCAGAGAAAAATGCCATATAAGGTGAGATACCAGGAACATGGAAAAATGTTAAAAAAAAATTATCTATAAAAATTTCGAAGTTATGAGGGTTTGAATTTTGCACTTGCACTCTATTTATTTCTGTTGGAAAAATAATTTTCAAGTTTTTTTGTTATAGGCTATTAAAAGAGGAAACAAGGAAGCTATATCCTAAATTGTAACTCTGTTCAATGTTATTTGTGTCTTCTATTGGCAAATTTTTTGTACCTTTACTAAGTAATTGTAAAAAAAACATATACAAGATCATCAGTATCATTAAATAGACATAAAAAAAATGTCAAATGCCAAAAAATAAATGTCAAAATTTTTTGACAGATAGAATTTTTTAAACATTTTTTCCATGTTCCTGGTATCTCACCTTACTCAAAATTTTAATCTGGGGCGCGAGTTCTGGCGCACCTGTATAGTTGAATTATTAAAATGACTTCTTTTAATGATAATAATATTAATTTTAATAATTAATTAATTTAATAATAAATTTTATACATGTCTGTTTTATTTATTAATTCTATATTTTCAATAAAATAAAATTTCTTGACTATTAGAAAACAAAAATTAATAATATAAATATTATTATAAGTGACAATAACAAACTCTTTTGGTGTAGAACAGTTTTAACTAGTTTGAATATAACTGCTAATAGGCCATTATTCTTGTTTCTAAAATTGAAAAACAAAAAAAAAACAATTAAAAAATTGACATGGCAGTTCCAACATCCAGAGGACGCATCAAACGAAAATTTCTAAAAAAAAACATTCTTGCCAGTGAAATTGTAAACATGTGTAATCATTTCCGCAATTGAACTTTTAAAATTAAATTTAGTTATTGAAATTTAAAAGCAGTTTTTTTAATAACTTGTAATATTGTTATAAAATGTCTCAATATTAACGAAATTCATTTTAATAAAAACAATAATAAGATATGTAGTAACGCTGGATTATTTAGGGGGTTTTTCTAATATTATTCTCATTTAAAAGAATTTACTTATGGTGAATCTTGCCTGACTGCAGGTCTAAACCGCCAAGATGTAGAAAATATTTGTCAGAAAATTATGTCTTGAATAATTGGCTGCCAAATAGTTTCTTCTTCTTTTGGCGGGTCAGTAATAATTTTATTTCCAACGGGTAGACACCCAATTACAGGAAAAAATAAAAAACAAAGTTACAAAATACAAATACATAAAAAAATGATTAGGAAAGGAGTAATTTTAACGCGAAAAAAAAATTAGTTTTTATCCCCAACTGTCTCCAATAAAATTCTAAATATTACAGAATAAGATTATCAAAAAGCATCTAAATTTTTACAAGAAGTGTTGGCACAAAATGTTTACTGGACTTTTGGAAATAATATTTGTTTTAGCTTTGTTACAGTAAAACATTACATAATTTCTAGTATTAACTTTTGGTACATGTAGATTAATTTTAGACAATTGAAATGGATTTTCCATACAATTATATTGTAATGTTACATAAGTACTGGATGTGTCAGAACACGCGTAAGATAAGGAAATTCTACCTGTCAAAAAATTTTGACATTTGATATTTTTTATATCTATTTAATTATACTGATCTTGTATCTGTATACAGGGTGCCCATTTTATCTGTTCCCGCCTGAAGGAGTAAAAATAGGCAACATATTATACATTTTCATAAATTATTTCGTGTAAAGTATTAACTATTCTAAATTGAAAAATCAGTCGGTGCTTGATTATCGAAAACTTGAAAAAAATTAAATTCAAAACTCAAATGTATAATAATGGGAACAACAGCAATAAATTAACAAATTATTGTATTATTGGTTGCCTGTTTATGAAATTTAAGGAGGGAACAGATAAAATGGGCACCCTGTATGTTTCTTACACTTTTTTGTATCTTTAACCGTATTCGCAGCGTTCTCAAAAATATCGAAAATATAGAAAAAAATTAATTATAAACAATCATCAATTTGCGTTTCGCCCAATATTTTTGAGAACGCTGCGAATACGGTTAAAGATACAAAAAAGTGTAAGAAACAAAATTGTAGAGAATAAAATTTGCTACAAAAAAGTCCGCGACACCATATTTCTATCTTCAACGGTTTAGGTTTAAATTGCTTTAAAGTGTCCTTCCGGCAGTCAATCACCAGTAAAAATGAAACGAATCTGTCGCTTGAGCAGTTTGAACGTCTTTGAGGCCTAAACCATTAAAGATACAGGTATGGACTTTTTATTAGGAAATTTTATTCTCTACAACTTTTTTTCTTACATTTTTCTTGTATCTTTAACCGTATTCGCAGCATTTTGAAATCATGAAACGGAGCACAGATTTTGAATTTTAAAATTTTTTTTCTCATATATCTCGTGAGAAATTTAGTCGTTCGTTTTTCACGGTTTATTAAGAATGTAAAGCTCAACATTTTTGCATTTTTTTTTCAAGCAATTAGTAAACAGGTTGAATTTAAATTAATTTAAAACGATTTCAAACTGAGACGGTAATTAAACGCTCTAAGCTCCCTCATTTTTACTCCGCCGTACTACTTTTTTTGGGTCCAAAAAAACAAAAACAAAAAAAATACGAGTTTAATTAACTCAACGAAAATTATAGTAGTTTTAATTAAAATATATGTTTTATTTTATTAGTTTTTGAGAATGTGATTAATACTTATTTGTTCTAAACGGTTATTTTCATTTTTACAAATTCTCTTTTTTTTTCTTACTTTGTTGTTCTCTTAAGTTAATATTATACATACAACCAAAATAGAAATTAAAAAAAATATCGAAATATATTTCTTTGTAATTTCTATTAATGTTAACAGATTAATTCAAGAGAAATTCGCATCCCTCATGCACAACGACCCCGTACACATCAAACGCAAAGTTCTCTCGGGCATAGTAATGACCTGTTCCACATCTCTCCGAAGATCCGAAATAATTTCAGTGACCACCGGCACGAAATGCGTTTCCGGCGAGCACATCAGCATGAACGGATGTTCCCTTAATGACATGCATGCGGAAATCCTCTCGCGCCGTTGTCTCATTACCTACTTCTACGACCAACTCGATCTCATCGCAAACTCCCAACCGGAAAAATCGATTTTCGTCCAACGGGAAGACGGCAAAGGCTACAAACTCAAAGACGGCATTGAGTTCCACTTGTACATTAACACCGCTCCTTGTGGGGACGCGCGCATTTTCAGTCCCCATGAGGAGAGCGAAGAGGTTGACAAACATCCGAATAGGTCCTCTCGGGGGCAACTCCGGACTAAAATCGAGTCGGGCGAAGGGACAATTCCGGTGAAAGCCAGTGGAAGTTTGATACAGACTTGGGATGGGATTTTGCAAGGGGAGAGGTTGCTAACTATGTCGTGTTCGGATAAGATTTGCCGGTGGAATGTTGTGGGGGTGCAGGGGGCGCTTTTGTCTCATTTCATCGAACCGATTTACCTGAAATCGATTGTCTTAGGTAGTTTGATGCGAGAACCGCATTTGTATAGAGCCCTCTGTGGTAGAATTGAGAACACGATTCAAGGCCTACCACCCCCATTTCGCCTAAACCGCCCCTCGATGTTTCTACTGACGTCAAGTGAGACGCGACAGCCGAAAAAAGCGCCGAATTTTGCAACGATTTGGTCACAAGGTGACGCAAAACCAGAAATTGTTAGTACGACTCTTGGTAAACCGGAAAATGGGTTTTCGAAATTATGCAAAGTTGAGTTGATGAAAAGATTTAGCAGATTAGTTGGGAAAATTTCGAGTGTGACAGAGATTGAGAAAAATTTGCCGAGTCTATATTGTGACGTTAAAGACGCTGTTACTTCGTATAAGGTAGGAAAGAGGAGACAAAATCGAGTATGTTTCACGGGTATTTTTCAGGCCGCAAAAACGAACTTGTACGAAGCGTTCATTAAGGCGGGGTTGGGAAATTGGATTTCCAAACCTATGGAACAGGATATGTTTGAATTAAGTAAAGAAAACGAGTAATAATAACTGATTTTATTTTACTTTTTACGAATCTCTGTTAAGTTACAGAAAAAATTAGGTTTTGTGACTTTATAAGTCTTATACATTCTATTTTAACAATTAAATTAACTTTCTCGAATCATTATCTCGTTTATCTCAACCGATTATGTCTACCTAGCAAAAAAAGAAAAACAGAAATGCGAAATAAATGTTGGGTGACTTCCGGTAAAATGTGTGAATTGTTGGTTGCATAATCACTAGGCAAAATAATTATTTTGGGTTATTTGCGCCAGTTTAGGAAACAATATGTAAACAACTAATATAATAAAATAGCATATTTTCTCTAATTATCTATAAATAATAATAAAAAGTGTAATTTGTTACATAACCTACAAAACATAACCCGACTTCCAGTTGTCAAAATTTGGTCAAAATGCTTGCGTGTCGGTCGTTTTTACGGGTTGTTAGAGTTGTAGCCTCCTTTAGACACTTACACAAATACAACTCCTTTCACATATTAAGTGCCCCAAACGTTAGAAATACTGCCACACCAATCTATAGGTTATGTTCAATGAAGCCTCCCGAAGACTTAATCGACGTCTCCACATTCGAAAAAGCCTGCGACGAGACTTTGGAATCTCTGACCGAATATTTCGAGCAAATAGTCGAAGAAGTGGATAATTTAAAATCAGCCGATGTGGCATACAGTGTAGGCTTTTCACTTCATCAAAGATTTATTTAAAAAAGGTTTTGTAGAGTGGCGTTTTGACTGTTAATTTAGGGCCGGATTATGGCACTTATGTGATTAATAGACAGTCACCGAATAGGCAAATTTGGTTGAGTTCGCCTGTCTCAGGACCTAAAAGATATGATTTTGTGGTCAAGGACAATTGTTGGGTGTATAAACACGACGGGAAGACTTTGCATAAGTTGTTGCAGGATGAAATAGCAAGAATTGTGAAAATTGATGTTAATTTTGCCAATTGTTCGTATGGGAAGCTGTGAAAATAAACAAATTTAATGAATACATTGATTACATGTTTTATTTTAGTTCAAATACATCTTAAATAGAGGTGCTAGTACATTTTTTACACTTATGTTAAGTATATTTACAACAGCTATACATACAGTTATGTACAAGGAAAATAAATTAGTTGCTTTCAGTTTTAAAAATATCTAATTATATCACATGTTTGGTCACACAGTGTCGTTTATTACTTAAGTTCGATTTTTAACTTTTTTAGAGTAGGTACAGTTTGAAATGTAAGGATTGGAACTTCAAAGGAGTAGGTAAACACTTAAAGCTGATTGGCTTAAACTTCAAAGCGTTTGTGTTTTCCCGACAGATGATTAGCCATCTACTAGGACAGTCGTCAATTTTCCCTAATTCTAACAAATCTAGTCTAATCCTACTTGAATACAGAAACGACACTTCATTTAAATGGGATATGTCATAGTCGAGGTCGTGAATTAACTCTTAGTACCCTGTGTTCTATCTAAATTAGCGCCAAGGTGTCTCACAGCCGCTCCAACTTTTTACATCTGCGTCTCAGTGACGCCTTTGTCGACCTCATCAGTGGTTTCCTCGCGAGTCCAGGGCAAATGTCGGCTGGATCGCGAGGTTTGGCACTAGATCCAAGTCCGTCTTTGTCTGATGGAATTCTTGTCGTCGGTTTGTGAGGACAACTGTTTTTGTCAGGAGACGGAACGGAGCTCCTCGCCTTTCCATCGGCGGGCCTCCAGGTTACGGTGGTAGCCCAACTCGTCGGGGAGGTTCGAGTAGCACGTGTTGGTTGAGGACGTGGGGCTGGGGCGTGTCATGTAGTTCATACGAATGGTTCCTGCAAACAAAGAGTCAAACATAAACTCTACATAGCTATATTACAAGGGATTTAAAGATCCCGCTCGGCTGTGGGGCGCAGGGGGCACCACTTTTTCGCTACGTCCACAAAACCGTGCGTGGGTGAGTACAAGTTCATCTTCTTGGGTTTTTTGCAAAAAAAATGTCACACTCTCCAACAAAACTGATAATGAATTAACGTAGGGATTGTTGTAAAAGTTGTAAGCATTGTGGTTGGGCAGTTTGAGGTCGGCCATTATAATAATGTAAAAAACCAATCACTTTAGGTTTTTGGATACATTCAAAAATTTGATGCAATGATTCATTTGAGGTCGGCCATTATGATAACTTAAGAAGCCAATCACTTTAGACTTTAGATTAATTGAAAAATTTGCAAAATTTGTTAATTCGGATTTGCATTCATTCATTAAGATAAGTTGCAATTTTTAATGAAAATGTTACGTTTTGTTGTAATTATTTTATTGGGAAAAAACCATAAATTTTAAAATAGAAATATTAGTGTTTTATCCGTCTTCCGTGCTGTCAACCACAACATAACTTGACATAGGTACATAGATACGGAAGTAATTTTTTTTGGATTTGTACATTTTTATACTTGTAGTTATAATTTCATTGTTTGTCTCCAATAAAAGAACAAGGCAATAATTTTTTTGGTTAGAAAAAGAGTTCTCGAAGTGGATGTTGTAGTTGAAATGTTAAATTTGAAGTGACAACTAGAAATTCTTAAACTAGTTTTTTAAAGAAAAAATTCACTATTTATGTAAGGATTTCTATAAAAATATCAAATGTTTTTACAAGAAGGTCTTACGCATTGATTTATTTAGTTTTGTATTTATTTTGCTCTTTGTGCATAATAAAAATATGAAACAAAGGTGTATGGAAAATTCATTTTACAGTACATACTTTCTGTTTGTGGAGGAGACAAGTTGACGGGAGAGGTTTTTTTGTATTCAGGATGTTGACAAAACTTTTAATACACTTTGAGCAAAGAAAAATGTAAGTAAAATTTCTATTTTCACACAATGTGTTAAAATAAGTTATTATAAGTTGAAAAAATAATATTTAAAACCTTTGATTTTCAAATTAATAATACAATTTATTCTAATTCTTTAATAATAACAACATAAAGAGTAGTTGTTATTCCTTATAAATAGCAGTACTATCAATTATTGTGCAGAACAAAAAATTAGGTACAGGTTTCACATAACTTTACGAGGCTTGCGCTTAATGTACGCACCCAAATATACAAAAGTCACAGAACACTGGATACAAAAAATACGCATTTAATTATTTAATTTTTGGAAACCCATGACAGTAGTTGTCAAACTAATCACTGTTTCATTAATCGTCATAAACTGCAGTTTTTCAGAAACAATTACCATTTGTTCTATCAAGAGACGGCATGAATATGATTGTAGTTTATCTATCTTAATCACTAACTAACTAAAAACGTTGTAATTTTTGAAAGGGTGAACAAACTAGAGAAGATTATCCAATTTTTCAAAATTTGTAATCGAGTTCGTATCGTAATATGTATTATTGATTGCATCTTACAGGCGCAGGCCTCGTAAAATTACGTGAAACACCTTGTATATCTCATTTTAAAATACCTACGCAAGATTCAATAAAACCTAGTTTCTAAAATTGTGTAAGACTCGTGTTATACAGGGTGGGCCAGAATTTGCGCTCCAGAGAAAAATTTTAAGTAAGATAAGATACCAGGAACATAGAAAAAATGTTTAAAAAATCCTGTCTGTCAAAAAATTTTCACATTTATTTTTTGTTATTTGACATTTTTTATGTCTATTTAATGATACTGATGATCTTGTATATGTTTTTTTATAAAGGTACAAAAATTTTGTCAATAAAATCCACAAATAACAATAAATAGAATTACAATTTAGCATGCAGCTTCTTTGTTTCGTCTTCTAATAGCCTGTACCCAAAAAACTTGGAAAATTATTTTTCCAACAGAAATAAATAGAGTGAAAGTGCAAAATTTAAACTCTCATAACTTTAAAATCTTTATAGTTGGATTTTTTTAAACATTTTTCTTGTTGTCTAGGGCACCGCCCTATGATACAGTGTCACGAAGGTGCGACTTTCCGGACAATCTGTATATGGCGGAAAACAAAAAAAAATTCTTTTAATCTAACCTTAAAAGTAGGTTTTAAAATAACTGCGGGGTTAATTAAGACGGCGTTTCAAGTTGCGTCATATTTGGCTTCAGTTTCAGGATTTCCAATTTACAAGAGACTGACACTGACATGCACCGCTCACAAACCCATTATCCTGGAGAATTTGTAATGTGTAAAAGCCAAAGATTAGATTAAAAAAATCTATTTACTTCCACTTCAAAGTTTCTTTCATCAATACGAAATCAAAGGTTAGTGAACTGTACGAAAATTCTCCAACTATGGAAACCCCCCAAAGACATTAATTCATTAGATATCAAAGGCCGTCTCGTATCTAACGCGGCATCGAACCGCAATAAAAGTAAAGAAGTCGAAGTCTATAAAAACGAAATAAACCATTTACAACCTTTGAAACTTATACTTCTTTTGGGGAATAATCCATCTATGTTTATTGCACAAAAATACGGAGAAGAAAAAAAATAAACCGACTTGAGTTTACTTAAATTTTCTTTGCACTTTTTGCAACGAAATTTTAGTAAACTCACCCTTCACACTGAAATCTTACTCCTCGTCACCTCTGTGACTTCTGTGTGGTCCACTTAGTGGTACGCTCGTCTTTTCTTCCTAAAATTTCGATACGATTCGAATCTAATTTTCGTTTAGAATTTTTTTGGCGATACTAACCGTTTCGGATGATTCGGTTATGGTCCGGAGATCCGGAATACGAGCGTCTTCGACTGGTGAGGACTTCGCGGCGAGTCAAAGCTCCCGGACTTACGTGAATGAACGGCAGACAGGAGAAAAACTGCTTGAATCCTCGCCGGAATCTGAAATCAAATAAAACGACAATAAAAAGTCCGGAGCCAAATGGATTGCATCTGCTTAAAATGAAAACTCACTAAAATAAAGCCTCCAATTCAATTCTGTCTCATCGAAATAAATCAATACAAACATATCAAGCCACATCGAAATTGGGTTTAATTTAATTTAAAAATTGTTGTTCTCAGTGTAGCATCACATAATAAATGAAAAAATGTACGATACTTTTTCAAACCCTCTTATAAAGCTTTTAACTTGGATAAAATGTCCCAATTTCCGGTTTGGTCTCTCTGCGACTTGTACTGTCCTATAAACGTATTATATCGACAAACTGTGCTCTGATTAAATCCGTTTTTGACCGGAAATAAGCGAGCCTTTTATAATGTGTCAAAATGAAAGTTTTTAAACGGTTGAAGTTTTTTTACGGTCACGGGGTGCTGGTTGTAATTACCACATTTTACCTAATCTATCAAGTCGTGTGTGAAGCGTCGATACGTCAACGTCGTTCCGGTATGAGCACGGGAGAAGGTTGAGGGAGATTATTTCAAAGAGGTTTGAGATGAGGGTGTTTTCTTAGATGGGGTAGATTATGTGATACGGGCTGCATTGTCAGTATTGGATACTCATCGAATTTTTAGTTGAAGATTTTTCATTAGTCATTAGCTTTTTTTGATACAAATTTTTTTATTTTTTACACAAATAATTTGAGTATAAAAATACTTTTGGTATGAAAGTTAATGGTGTTACGTGGTTTTAGAGTGGTGTTTTTTTGTTGGTTGTAACGTATGTTTTAATTTTTATTCTTATCCCACATTATATTTTGAAAACCTTAAAAATCCAAGTTTTTAGAGTTACCTAAACATACAGGGTGTGTCAGAAATTGTGCTCTAGAAAAAAATTTCAAGTAAGATAAGATACCAAGAACACGGATATATGTTTAAAAAATTCTCAGTCAAAAAAATTTTGACATTTATTTTTTACATTTGACATTTTTTTGGTCTATTTATTACTAATGATTTTGTATATGTTTTTTGATTATTATTTAGTAAAGCTATAAAAATTTTGCCAATGTAACTCAATTTATTGTTATAACATTAAACAGAGTTACAATTTAGGAGTAGGAAAAAAACTTGGAAAATTATTTTTTCAACAAAAATAGATAGAGTTAAGGTGCAAAATTTATACTCTCATAACTTCGAAATTTTTATAGACAAAATTTTTTAACATTTTTTCTATGTTTCTGGTACCGTACCTTTTTTCTGGAGTGCGAGTTCTGGCACACCCTCTATAAACCTATTTAAGTATATTTTATGACAGCAGATGACGAAATATCTAATAAAAAGTAAAATAAATTGTTGTATTTTTGTTTTTTGATCAATAGCTCGATAACTAAGGACAATTGGAAAATTTTCCACTCTTTTCGATTTGTATTAGTTTCCTGAAACAAACTTCAAAAGCACGGGCGTCAATTTTGAGACACCCTGCATAATAAGTTTTGAATAAATATATTTATTAGAATAGAAAAAAAAATAAGAGACTTAACTAGCATATTCAGATTTTTCTTCAAACATGGTTTATGAAAAATAGTTTACATTTTTTTTCACCATATCAGTTAATATAATAAAACAACTTGACATTAATAAAAACTATTTCAAAGTCGTTATTCATTTATTTTACGCGTATACATAAAATTTTAAGTATTTTGAATAATGTTCCGTTTTTATTGTTACAAATTTAAAAAGGTGATAGAATATTTAATTTTAAGACAAAAGTTTTTCTATGAACATGTATCAAAAAATTTTATGTAAGCGAGCTACCCCCCTAGAAGAGATGCATTTTTTATGTTTTTTTTTCTACTATTGCAGAACATATAAAATTACAAAAGTTGGTACAACTGATAACCTTTAAACACCTGAACGAATTCAAAGATCAGTTGGAATTTTTTAATCACGGGTATCTTAAACGGTAAAACGAATTTACAGCATTTTTATAATAACTTGCAACAATAAAAAATTTCTACTTTAAAGTAAACATTATTTCACTCCAAATGAATAAAACGCAAACTTGTCAAGTTTCCGCTGACATTTGATGTCAAAAATCAGGATTGCCATCTGAAGGACTTTAATCACCGCCTACTCTAATATATTTTTTAATCGCACGGTAGTTAGGGTACTTTTCACCTTATACCCCCCAGTTTAGAACGCCCCTGAGTAAAAATTTCGACATTTTATCTTTGAATTTGTTTGGATGTATAAAGGTTATCAGTTGTACCAAATTTTGTAATTTTATCTACAATGGTTTCTGAAATATTGGAAAAAATCCATTAAAAGGTGCACCCCTTGCACGGGATGTAGCTCCTTTATATAATATTTTTCAATACATGTTTATAGGAATCTTTTATTTTAAAATTGAATATTCTATCACTTGTTTAAATTTGTAACAATGAAAATGGAACACCCTGTATAAAAAATGTGATTTTTTTATTCTCTATGGTGATTGGGTGCAGGCAAAATAAAGAAAAATGTCAAAGCGATGAAAATCATTGAAAACGGTTTGCAACTCAAACCAAATTTTGCTAGAAAATAAGTCGAACACAAAAAAATTTTGACACAAAATATAGTTTTACAGCATTGATCGTTTTTAATTTTAAATTAATAAAGAGTGTGGGATTTAATAATAATCATTGGCTGTCGTTCACAAATAAGTATGACAAGTTAATCAATACGTTGTTATGACTTATTATTTATGTAGAATTGATAAAATTCTATTACCGAAATAATAGGTAAAATTATTGCGTTTTGAATTTACAGTTTTGTACATTAGACATTAATTTGTTAATTGAAATGAAAGATAAATAACTTGTGTAAATGACATTTCTGTTCCATTAACCTAATCTCAGGCCAAGTTTCCCAATGTTTGACTTCTATTTCAAGACTTGCAGCCACTGACATCGACACATACCTTCACCAGAAGTACATTGGGAACATGTTCTAAACTTGTTGAAAGTCACATTACGCTTTTATCCACATTTTTGCCGTTTTAATCAAGAATTAAATTTAGTTACAGTTGTTTACGACGTGGATCAAAGCGACAAACACCCAATAACATTTCTGATGAGTTTTGTGAAAAATCATTTGAAATCTACAACACTCATTACATTAAAATTAACACAAACAAAACAATTAATTTAATTAGATAAATTAAAGCACCCAGAAAGTTTAATTTTAATTAAATCAAAACTTTCTCACTCAAAAACTTACTTTATAAAATATTTGTCGATAGCTTTGAGCAAAAGTTGTATTATTGTTGGGTAAACACACGAGTTTGAAAGAAACTTGTATCGAAATCAGCTTTATTCCAACGTTTTACTTTTATATAAATCAACTTTGAATCGGTTCAATTAAACTTAAAATCAAAGATGAAATTCAGAGCAACGGAAGTTGCTTTGAATTCTATTTAACAGAAAAATTTTGTTAATTAAATATTGCGCTCGAAAATCAATTAGTGGTGTTTTAAGACATATTTCACTGCCAGGTGGCGACCCCTGGGGTGATGAAGATTAATAAAAGACCGCAATGTCGGGTAGTGTCTGTGTAATTGAATTTTTGGTTCAATTGGGAACTTATCAAAACTGTTGACACTAGAAAAATATCAAAAAATTTGTTTTAAAAGTTTTGTATTTTTCTGAAAATTGGAATGTAGTTACCTGGCGTTCATCCAGCAATAAATAATCGGATTGTACATGGAATTGCTCATGGCTAACCAATAAATGGCCAAATACGTTTCCTGGATGTATGTCGAATTTGTTATTTCCGGAAAATAGGATATCACGATGAAGTACAGGTGATATGGTAGCCAACACACCGCGAAGATAATCACGACGACCATCATCATTTTAACAACCTGAAATTAAAATTGGATGTTAAGTGGGGAGAGAAAAATCACTTGTTGGGGGTAATAGAGAGTGTTACTTTGTCAGATTTTGTATTATTCAGATGGTAAATTTGCAAAACTTGTAAAGTTTGATCGTTACAAGTTGACATGTAATTTATTGTAGCTTGTTCTTGACAAGACTTGAAATGCAAGCTCATGACTCCTTTCAGATTAGAGTATTAGCAGAACAAGAATAACAAGTAGATGGAACTAGCGCGATTTTAATTAAAATTGAGAGGTTTTAATTGTAAAGCAAGCGAATATGAGAGAAATAAATAAAGGGAAATATACACGAGCTTAGGAATTGTCTGTCATTACTTATTTTCTTTTTTACCGGTTTGTGACCAGTTAAATTGGTCCCAAAACTTTTTTCCTGAGTATATAAACACATTGATAAATCGTGTTGAAAATAAAAAGGTCCAACAGATTTTTTAATGACAGTTAGTGGAAAAAGTTAAAATTTAAAAATCTATATTAACTTTTTAAATAAACTTTGGTTGCCGTTAGAACCACAAAAATTGAATAAACTCACAAAAATCAAGTCAGGTTTTTTCCTTAGTTTAGATTTTTTATTAGAAAAGCAATTCTTGTCTAAGTTTTTTGTGAATTATTTGATTACATGTTAGTTGCTACAGAAAATTAAAGATAAACTCAATTTGCTTTAAACTTAGTTTTAACTTAAATTTAACAGGGATTTTTTATTTAAATTTAATTACAAATTTTATTGTAATGTTGAACTATTTTTTATTTGACAATTTTGATTATTGACCCGGCGCATCCACCAAATTTAGCGAATTTAATTACAATTTTTTTTAATATGAAACTGTTTTTTACTTACTTACTGCGCTGTTTTTATAATTTGACTAACAAAATATTTTTTTTAATTTTTCGTGTTCAAGTTCTAAAAACATATTCATATACTTATTCTGTACAGAATGTCTAGAAAAAACGTTAAAAGATTTTGGGAAATAACTTTTTAGGTCAAAATAAAAGACAATTATAATAAAAGACGATAAAGAAATTGTTTATCTACGAGTGAAAAGGTTGAGTTTACGAGTGACGAAGTCACGAGTGGATTTTTTTCACGAGTAGATAAACAATCTTTATCGTCGTGTATAATATTTCGTTTTATTTTGTATTGAGCTACCAGAATTTCTTGAATATAAACAGTAGATAAAAATTATTTTATTTCACAAGACGATAAAAGACTACTTTATCTATTGAAATTAGTTGATAATATATAAACAGTAAATAAAATTTACTTCATTTCACTAGACGATAAAAGACTACTTTATCTACTGAAATTCGTTGATAAAAGCACTCTTTAACATTGAGTACAAAATAATAGTTATTTATTCTTCGAGTTTGAGTGTAAATCGGACTCATTATTTCACCGAGTGGATTTTTAAGCCACGAGTGTAACGAGTGGTTTATTATCCACAAGGTGAAATAAAGCGTCCGATTTACACTGAAGCGAGTTGAATACAGCATTTTATTCTTCGAATTAGACTCAATGAGGCTTAAACTTGCTTTAAATCTGTTAAAAATTATCTGACGTTTCGTATTGAGAAAAGCCAAACAGTTGTCAAAAATTCCTTACACGGGAGAAAAACCGTAAATTTTGACAATGTCGAAGAATAAAAGTTTTTTTAATTATTTTTATTTTATTTTTTTTGTTTTTTTTATTGATCTGTGTTTTTCTTATGCTTGAATACAATTTTTATATGGTTTTGTAACTTACCACCGTAAAGCAGGCTTAAATGTTAATTACGAAAACAAGGTATAAACTAATTATTACAAGTGAAAAAATTATTACAAGTCAAAAAAACTGTAAGTAAAACTTGCATCAAAAAGAAAAATTTGGTATTTTTAGATTAGGGATTATTTCTGAAAGAACACGCTTGTGTCTTCTAACAAGGTTTTTTTAAATTTTTTATTACAAGTTCACAATAATGCAAAAACATGTAAAAAATATTGTTACAATATTTTATTTAATAAAAGATTTACTATCTTTTAAAACTTGATTTTAAACAATAATACCTATATGTATTTGTAGAAATTGAATATTCAGTCAACATTGGAGGCGGAAATATTTCAAGAAATATTTTAGTGTCACACAATATATTTATTTAGAAGTTTAAAACGGTTAAAAGGTTTTTGAATGTGCAAAGCAATAACAATGATAATAAATTTACGAATTTGTATTTTTTTATTTGTATGCAAAACTCCATAAATTTGAGACGAAATAAATAGAGATTTATAAAATTTGCCAGAGCTGCTGCAATTCATTTCATCCAATATCTCCTCCTAAACACAACGACAAATTTAATCTTAAATACGTCACTCTGATCCAAATTAAATCCTTTATTGAGTCGAACTGATCTCTGTTTTTCCATTTCGAAAATGTCAACCCGTTGTTTGTGCTTTTTTCCCTCGTCTAAATCTAATCGACAAAGTTTAAAAATAGTGAATTAACCCAAATTGCCCCGAGTATTATTTACATCTTTTCCCTAATTTCAAAAATTTGCAATTTAAAATACGCCGTGATGAATAAATTGTCTCGGAAAACTTTAACCCTGCCTGATAATCTGAAAGTTTTCAGTCTCGCGAGAACAATTTTCCCACTCTTGTGGGCGTCGAAAAGTCCAGTGATTATTACGAACTATTTTTGTAAAATATTTACTTACCCGCCTTTTGCTTCTGATGTTTTCCATTTGGCGCTGTGTGCATTCGCCGATGCTCTGGGATCCCCAGAGTTCGATCCCGATTCGGGCGTAAGTGTAAGTCATCGATCCTATAGGTACGACGTAAGTCACAAAGAGGAATCCCACGTTGTAGCTGAAACGTAATATTTCATAAAATAAACACAAAAGTTGAGTTTGCTGCGATCAATAGCACTGCCGCAGTTAATCAAAATTTGGGACAAAAATCGCTGTCAAATCTAACTAAAATTTATTCAACTGTTTGCATGTTTTCTCTTGGTTTTTGTGATCACTCTGTATCCAACTTACGCGTATTCCATCATTGATTCGTTGGTCATGCCATCCGGCCACTCAGGATAACAAATCACTCGTTCCTCCCCATCTCTATAGGGCATCGTGTATGTTCTGAAGAACATCAGGGACGGACTACCTATAATTACCCCCAATAGCCACGTAGTCACTGCTAATAGCACTGTCACAGTACGGCCCATTCTCGGCTTTAATGGAGTCATTATAGCCATGTATCTGTAAAGAATATCGAAGTAGTTAAAACAGGAAATTGGTTAGAATTCCCAACAAAGTTGCTTCAAAGAAGACAAATTGTATCGTTTCTGGTTTAAGGGAAATCGTTAAGTTTTTGTTTAAGTGGGGGCGAAATAGTTTTATACGGGAGTTGAGAGATTTATGAAGAAAATAAAAAGACGACAAGCATTAAAGATGGATTACGGGGAACAGGAAAAAATAAATGAATTGCTGCTATAACTTTGCGATGACGTTAAAAAGGGTTAATAAAAAGGGAAAATGGGACAAAGGGATGATTTGTAACGGTTTGATGAGCACTAAAAATTGATAAATGGAAAAAACTAAAATTTATTTAACGGTTTTGATACTCTTAAACCTGATTTTAGATGAGTCTAATCCGATTTAGTTTTTTTTAGGTTAAAAATTAGGTTCAAACGAAACTACATTGGCCAAAGTTTAATTTAAAAACCAAACTTACTGGTTTAGATTTTTATTTTACATATTTTTTTTATTCAATTGAAGGTCAAAGCAAAGTTGAGTTAAGGTTTCCTTTAGGATTAAAAACTTTAAACTTAAAATTTAATCCTTGATAAAGTTAAAAAGTAGATTCTTTTCGAGGCTTTTGTAATTCTAGGTTTGCAATTTCTTAAAATTTGGATTGAAATAGTTTGAAATTTAGACGGTTATTTTCCTTCGCCTAACTTTTTGAGAGTTTAAGGTTAAGATAATCACAAACCTGGGCTGAGAATATCATAACGTTTAAACCTTAATTATAATTTTAAGCTTCTAGGTTTTTATTTGAGTTGCTTAAAATTGTTATTTCTAAAAATGCAGACATAAGTCGTTTTAATTTGACTTTATTTTTTGAAGGTCTTAGGTTTAAATATAAAAAAATCCTGGGCTGTATATCAGAATTTTTAAACCTAAATAACAATAATTATTGTAATTAACTCCTAGACTCTGTTGATTTTTTTTTCTAAATTTACAAGCTTTATATGCTTTATTAAGTTTTTCTACATTATTTAAAAATTCAAATGAATTAAAAAATTATAAATTTATTTACTTTAACTTTATTTTTAGTGGGTTTAAGTTGACGTAATACAAAAATTTGATCTGTAACCTAAATGTTTTTGTGAAATTTGAGACTTAATAATGTTTTTAAAAGTTAATTGTTTCCACATTTAAAAAATAGTTTTTTCGAGGTTTCGAGCTTAAACCTTGATTAAGCCTAATAATAGCAATTTATTGTTTCATTTAATTAGATTTAAACTTAGATATCAACCTTTTTGTGTTTAATAAATGTTGAAAGAAGAACATTAAAAAATAAATAACTTTCAGTTTTTTTATTGAAAAATTGTTTCAATCTAGGTTTTAGATTTTTCATATAATATTAATTTTTCTCAATTTAATAATAATTCTTAAAATAATTATCAGTTTTAATTTTTTTGTATAAATTAATGTTAAACTTTGTTTTGTTTTTGAGACTTAATAATGTTTTTACGAGTTAATTGATTCCACATTTAAAAAATAGTTTTTTCGAGGTTTCGAGCTTAAACCTTGATTAAGTCTAATAATAGCGATTATTGATTGATTTAATTAGATTTAAACTTAGATATCAATCTTTTTTAGGTTCAATATTTGTGTTTTATAAATGTTGAAAGAAAAACATTAAAAAATAAATAGCTTTTAGATTTTTTACTGAAAAATTGTTTGATATCTAGGTCTTAGATTTTTCATATAATAGGTATTAAAATAATTTTTTTCAATTTAATAATAATTCTTAAAATAATCATCACTTTTTTTATAATTTAATGTTAAAATTTGTTTTGTTTCTAGTTTGAAGGTTGTATTATGATATTTTGGATTAGTAGTGTTTCGGGTTTCGTGGTGCGAAATGTGTCGTTTTTCTCGGAGGGAGGTAAGCCGCAAATTACATATTTACCTGTCAATTGAGATGGACATGAGGGAAAACACAGACGCACAGACGGACAAAACGGCTATAAATTGCGAAATTTTGCAGTATAGTTCACCAAAGGGCCAATGCGAATTTAACATGTAGACAAAGTTGAACGTGACATTGAGAGTTGAGACCATGGTATCAGCCACCGAAAGATTCACTTGAAGAAAAGAAAAAAATTAAACAAAATTTTTCTTTATTTGACTTTTAACTTACATAAAAAATAATTTGTAACCGTCCGCATCCTTTTATGTGAAAAAACGATCCAAATAACAATTAAATTTCCACCTGTCGCAACAATCACCATTCCTGCGTAGAGAATGCTCCAAAGGACTTGTCTCCACACCGGCAGGATAAATTGATTCCCGCCTGTATGAGAATGTTAACGATTGGGTGGAAAGTGAGTTTTTTACGCACCTTCTTCCGTATCATTGTAGCTTAGGTTGGTGGTGTAATCGTACTCCGAGGAGTTATCCATGATGGAATAACCGGTCGTGTACAAGAATTCTTGTGTGAAATTCATCGTGCAGGTGGGCGGATGGAGTATTACGCGAAAGGCGAATTCCACAAGAGAATTTTCATCTTGTCACGGACCTCGAGATGCATTTCTCGAGAGAATTGAGCAGAGGGGAGACGATGGTTGGCATCTGGAACGAAAAATAAGGGTCTATTGATGTTTAGGGTTTTGGGTTGTGATGTTGACAAAGAGAATATCATTTATACAGAGTGTTCCGGTTTTATTGTTACAAATTGAAGCAGGTGATAGGATATTCAATTTTAAGATAAAAGTTTTCTATAAACATGTATCGAAAAATATTAAATAAGGGAGCTACATCCCCTGAAACGGGTGCATATTTTAATGGATTTCTTGAAATATTTCAGCAAAATTGTAGATAAAATTTCAAAATTTGGTACAACTGATAACCTTTATACACCCAAAAGAATTCAAAGATAAAATGTCAAAATTTTTATTTAGGGGCGTCCTAAACTGGGGGGGTTTAGGGTAAAAGTACCCTAACTACTTTGGCTATTAGTTCGTGCCACTTTCAGCCATAAAATTTTAAATTTTATAGTTTTTTACAAAAAAGAGCTCTCTTGCGTTTTTTCGATACAACTTACCGTTTTTAAGTAAAATCAGTTTAAAATTTGTCTTACAGACCATAAAGAGCATAAAAATTAAAAATTAAATTTGTTTCACCGTTTAAAACACCCGGGATTAAAAGTTTTGACAACTGATCTTTGAATTTGTTCAGGTGTTATCAGCTGTACCAACTTTTGTAATTTTATCTATTCTGCAATAGTGGAAAATCCCATTAAAAAACTCATCTCTTTCAGGGGGTGTAGCTAGCTTACGTAACATTTTTTGATACATGTTCATAGGAAACTTTTGTCTTAAAATTGAATATTCTATCACCTGTTTAAATTTGTAACAATAAAAAAGGAACAGCCCTGTACATAAAAATCAAATTAAAAAAAAAAAACGAAAAAGAAAAAATAGAGAAAAGAAGTTGTAACTAATATATCTTGTATAAAAAATTGACGAAACAAAAAGAGTAAAAAAAAAAGTCAGGAATCTAAAACAATAGTTATGAAGAAATTGGAAGATATATTTTAGAAAAAAAATATCTTAGTGTATAACTGAATA